GGTTCGCTCGCTCGCTGTGAGGGGGCCGGGGGCCGCCGCGGGTAGCCGTTTCTTCGGACAAAACACTGGCAGGGAATATTTCCCAAGCGTGAGAGCGCTGGGTATAGACAAGAGAATTACCTTTATTGGCAACTTTAATTACAGCTATTCAGTCGATTCACCCATTCAGTTGACGTTTTTATTTAAAATAGTTGTGTGTTTTGCCCTGAGGTCCTGGCTTTGATTTAATGGTTGTTGAAGAAAAAAATGACATGGGATTTTGCTTTGTCGCTGACTACTTTTTTTTTTTTCCCTTCCTTCCTTCTTTGTGTGGAATGTGTTGAAATGACTGCTTCCGAGATTGTTCAGGTGAACTGTTCAGAGTGCTAATTAAGTAGGCAGGTGTCACTGAATTCCAACTGGTGACGTTTCTGTGTCTTACAGTGCTTCAGCAAGAAATTCCTGTGAAGCCTAATAAGAAAACCCAAGGATGACTGCCTACACCGTCCCTTTTCTCCTGGAAGGAGAAAATGTCCCAGTAAAGGATTTTTGTATTATGGTGATAAGCAAAATCAGAGAGTGGGAGCAGGGAAGCTAAATAGACTGAAGACCCAACTAACTTAAAAGGTGAAACTTTTCCTTTTTGTTATTTACCTGGCATATGTTTTGGTAAATGGGGTTAGTTTTATTTTCATGAGCTATGGTTTCAAGTAAAGTAAAATTTTTGGCAATTTGTTACTGCTAAGGAAGCAATTATAGACAAAACTGGTAGAAATAATGTTATAGCGCTTTAAAATGCTGTAACATGCCTCTTGTAGCAACATCCAAGTTTAATGGAAGAAAGAAAACGCAAACCACCTGATTAAATCTGAAGAAAAGGAGAGAAGTGGAAGACTTGCATAAAGATTTTAGCTCTAAAATGCAGAAATAATACAGGTATGACAACGTATCTTCTATGAGCTTCCCTTGTATGAAATAAATTAATGCTTTACTAGAAGTTCCAATCCTGTAATATCCGGATGTTTCTCTTTCATCTCTGTTGGGGCTGCTGATGACTTATGAGTGGCCCTGACTGATCTTCTGGTCTTGAGGGGCCACCCTGAAACACAGTTTCTTTTCTTCTCCCACATTTGGGCTGATAAGCCAACTATCTGGTACTTCTTTTCCACTTCCACACACGCCTCTCTGCCTGTCAGCTGCCTCCCCAGCTCTCCCCATCTTCATTCATTTCCTTTCTCGTGTCCTGGCTCATGATCCTCACCTCGCACTCCAAATGCAGCTGAGTTTATTTTCTTCATAACCACCGCTGCTGGACTTGTTTCCCATCACCATAGCCAAGTCACTGGTAATGTAGTCGTGTGATTGCAGACTTATGTACCAGGCTCAGCAGGAAACTTTTAACTTTTTTCTTAGCCTTATCCTCTGTTCCCCCTGAAAACTTATATATACTTTTGTTATGCAAAAAGCATAAACTGAAAGGTATGGTAACCCACTTCTGCACATTCAGCCACTGGTTTGGTATTTATTATGATATAGCATTTCCCAATTTTAGGCTTTGTGTTTGCACAGATTCTCTGTGTATAGATGCTTTGGTCCTGGGCTGTGGTTTCCCTCTCTGAACTATATGGTAGTTTAAGGCCTCACCTTGCTATTGCACAAATTGTATGTTTTTGGAGGTGTTTGTTTGTTGTCTTAACTGTAGTTGCAAGAGACAAAGGAGACGAAACAGGATGAGAAACCATGCTGCCCTAGGGATATCTGTCTCTGGAAGATGGTTGATGAAGATGCACTGTAAAAAGTGAGTTCATGCAATAAGCGCTGTTATAAGGTTTAGTTACGCCACAGGATTTTAAAATTTTAAAATTATAATCAGCTATGAGCTTTAGTGGCAAGTTTGAATTTGTCTGATAGGTCAATTCGGTAAAGTTAGTGGAGGTCTGACTGTTTTCATTTGTTCCTTGCAGTGGGTCTGGGGTCTAAAATGCAGTATAGACTGCAACAATTGGTCCATTTAAAAAAAAAATGACTTCAGAATGCAGCACTCTTAAAAATGGCTGATTGTGACTTTGAGACATCCATAATCTTGTTTCATCATAGAAAAAGACCGGACTGCTAACCATTTCCACTGGATTCTGCGCTGGGAAGGAATCCCCCAAGTGACTATATATCCCTACAACTAGAGCTGTTTTCCTTCTGCGCTGGGGAAATTTGAAGAGAATATCAGCAAGATAAGTGCTGCTGGTAGCAAGGCCACCAATACCAAGGTAGTAGGCAACTACAGGGCGAGAGAGGGGCAGTAACCCTGTGGGCTTCTGTCAGCTGGAAAGCTGGTTCTAAGGGAGACAGGACTGTATCTGCTTTTCCTCCCCTGATGCTCTCCTGCAAGGAAAAGGAAACTGTGAACTGCAGCTTGCAAAAGTTTCTTTTTGCAGGTTATGTCTGAAAGACAGCTCTAACAATGTCACAATCAAGGGTGGAACATGGGCTGCAAAATATTCAGTTTACCTTGTGGAGCTCAGGCTGGCAAGAGGAACACTATCGCACTTGTAGAAAGTTCAGATTTAACCTATGGTTTGATCTGTGCTCTTCTTGACAGGTGAAGTTTGATCACTGTGAAGTGCATTTTATGAATTTCTACAAAGATTAGCAGAAAAGTTTTATATTTATCAAGGCAACTTTCCAGCAGGCATTGCTGAAATGATGGTAGTATGATCACTTAATCTTATCATTTACTTTACCTGAAAACTAAAATACTCAGATGAAATTATAAAAGCAGTAGGGGGATATCATCTTTTTTTATTGCACAGCTTGAATGCTTCTAGCAGGATATGAACAGCATGTGACAATTCAGCCTGGTAACAACTTTGTACATAGATCCATAGAACAGATTACTTCAGTTTTTACAAAAGTTACAAGTACTATAGAGAGATAGTGGGATCATGGTTTGTAAACCTTAAACCACACTTTCCTGCACGACAATCTGCAAAGAGGATGTTCTTTTTTGTAAAGTGAGTATGTGTTGTGCAGCCGCAAGAAGCTTCCCCTTTCTTCAGAAGGACTACATAAATGTTACTTCTGAGATTGCGCATCCTGCAGTTACCTTGTAGTTTGCACTTGAGTGATCAAGTGTTTTAAGTGAAGGGGCTGTCATGAGCCATTTTGTGACTCTTCGTGTTCTTGATGTTAAACGTCAGACAACAGAAATGGAGACCCTGGATCTGTTGAGGAGTTGTTTGGTGTGCAGATGGGACCTGCAGAGGAGAAACCCCAGAATGCTACCTTGTCTTCATTCCTTCTGCAAGGACTGTCTTCCTGATTTGATTCAAGGATATAGTTATATTCCTGCTGGGTATGAAATTATATATGAAGGTAATATTTAAGAATCTCTTTTTTACTTATGCTCTTTTTAATACAATATTATAATAGAGGGACTGAGAAGTATTTTTTTTTTTTATAGCATGCTCCTTTAAAACACTAATTTTGAAGAATAAGCTAGGAGACTTGAAATTTGTGTGAGCAGAGGGTGAAACTGGGAACAAGTCTAATCGTTATGTTTTCCATCCAGCACTATATAAATGATGCAGTGAGGCAGTGTTTTAAATTTCCAGAGTGGGCTTGGTTTCAATTACTTATTCATAATGCTATACTTGTTTAAAATATTTGCTTTGTTTTGGGAATAAATGCTACAGGGTAGCTGCTAGGCTACATCTCTATTCAATCTTTTGGATATATTGGAACTTTGTAAGGTACTGGTTGTAGTGACAGATTGCTTTACTCCTCCTTCTCTCCCACCATGCCCCAGCCTGCTCCCTCCCCACCAACACCACAGCAAACACTGACATAAAAACTTCCAGTTCTTTGCTCCTAACAGAGGTCACAATCATTGTTGTTATGATATGTATGTTGTAGGGCACTGAAACTCTTTTGCACTTGCCTTATATCTCATTGTAAAAGTAGTTTTACTCTGTCTGCACTCTTAAGACTCTAGGATGTATTGTAATTCACTTTCACAAGCTGAGTAAATCTAGTGATAGAGAAGCGTTTCGTGACTGTGGCTTTTGGAAATTCTGAACTTGTACTGTTCTTAGTATGGTGTTAAGAAAAAATATGTAACTTTTTTGGAACAAGACAGGACTTAAATCACAGAAGCACAAACATTTTATTTTTAACTGAACGAATGAGTCTTGTCATGGGGGAGCATTCCAGATCCATTACTGATTTACAAGAAGGGTAAAGGCATGAAGGTAACTTGAATTTTCACAGGGTTTGAATGTGAGATGAGTAAGAGACATCACTTATTTATTACATACAAGATTTTAAAACGTAGGAAGAGAAGATACCTTCCCTGAGGTGATGATAATCTGAATTGACTAGATAACGTAAGGCAGGCAAGTTCAGGTTTGAGAACAAATGGGAACAATTCTAGCAGACCACTGTTGAAAGGCTAGGAGAACACAGGAGGAGGAGGAGAAGGGGATAAATGTGAGAGGAGAAAGGCTATTCGTGCATGGGCAATTAGAAGGAGGCAAAGAGCAAAGCAGTCATTTCAAGTAAATGCCTCCTTAAATTTTTAAATGTCCAGTCATTGTGGGCTTAAAGTCTGAGAGACTTATTTCATAATAAACTGCTGTTCGAAACACCCGCTACATTACTTTTTAGGTATCCTCATTTGACTTCTGTGCTATTACCTTCTCCCTCTTGTTTCTGTTTGTCAAGTGGAAAGGGAATGTATACCACTTGGTGAAGGGCAGCTAAACGTTCTTGTGAGTTATTACAGTATTAAAATACTAGATGTTTCTTAAAGCTCCTGAGAGTGGATCAGGGATTATTTGTCTATAGCAAATTGGAACAAAGATTAGTTTCTCTCTGTACTGCTCAAGTTTCTTTATTGCTTCCCTCCTCCTTTTATAAATTGGGGTCTTTTATGGGGTAGAGCAACACTGGAGAGATAACAGAGGAAAGAAGTAATGAACAGTGATGACCCAGTAAATGAAGTGAGACACCAGGTGCAAATACTCAGTTAATATATGAGCAACAGGAGTGGCAAAAACAGCACATTTGTCTCTTATTTAAATATCAGTGACTGAAACTGCAGCCAGCATAGGTCAGCCAGGATAAAATCTGTAAAATCATCTGATGGCAAGATGCTAAGCATTGCTTGTTTTATCTGTGCTGAGTTTTTGGCTGCTCCTACGTCAACTAAATTTTCAGTGTTATCTTTTAGCATGATTATATGTTTGTGCTAATAGTAAACTGTAAATAAAAACAATGCCAAGCCACTTCAGCTGAGGAAACGTAAAGTATTGCCTGTAACAAGAATACATTCTTTGCTTGAAACTGTGGTTTCAACATGCTGTACTCTAAGTAATGCTGTACTAAAACTAAGCTGTTTTCTAGTTTGTTGTTGTTGTATTAAGACTGCTGAGAAGATGGAAGTAAGTGTCCCTGATATTTGATAGGGAGTGATGTTGGACACTTGCTTTTAAACCTGTATCTCAATCTTCTTATTTAAGAAGGATCATTAATGAAAGCTCTGAGATAGCCTGAGCTCTTATGGAAAAGCTGCAAGCACATTAGAACTTATTAAAAACTATGAGAACAATGTTCTTGTAAAATTTATGAATTATTACCAAATAATGCAAGATTACAATGTTACAAGACTCAGAATTTGGTAATAATTTGAATGAACTTATGACAATGCAAGTTGGGCTCCTACAGGTGTTACAGATATGAAGGGGACTTTGAGAACACTGGTTTGGAATTCACTGCCAGTAATTTGATGCTCGGTCTCTCAGTGCTGCAGTCCAGTGTCACTTTCCATTTTTTCCCCTCACAAAAAAGAGAATCCAGATTCTTCTCCTCTGCAAATCTGCATGGTGTGCGTTTCCAGTCTGTGTAGTGCATGGGAAGGTTTTTTTTTTTTTTTGAGAGTCAGATTGGGGAAGAGAGAGGGTGAAATTTCCCAGATCTCCAGAGACGAAAATTTTCCAGAATAAGACTTTCCCAGGCTGCTACATGAGTTCATACATGTATGAATTCCCATTCACAGTACAGTGTGCAGACATACAAAATTGGTTTGTGCATGATGTCTTTGGTCTGGTTCCCTCTCACTGTGTTCTAAATACCTTCAAAAAAATTTTCATTCTTTTTTTGTGCATATGCCTCTCCTGTTTTGAGGGTGGGTACCAAAATGAACCAGCCTTTAATGTATTATCTGCAAATTTTTTCTTTTAGTTGTTTGATTTAAATTGTTTAAGCATGTTAAATATCACCAATGTGATAATTTAGAAAACAGTTGAGTTAGGAGCAGCGGGGGTTCATGTTTTTGGCAAGACTATCCCAGCTCAAGGGTTAGGTTTTTGTGTGTGTGTATGTGGATTTTTTTAAGGCTTTTTTTTTTTTTAGGCTTTTTTTTTTTTTTCTGTCCACACTCGAGTCATATTAGCTTTCCACACGTAAGAGAATCTGAGATCCGCACTTAAATACCAGGAAATGTAGCAGGGTTATGTATTAAAGAAATAAAGTGGTAAAAGCAAGTGAAACCAGATTGTTGAAGAGAGCACATGTGACTTCAATCATTGACAGGCACCCCCTTACTGCATTTCACCTTTCTTCAGCTTGTAAGGTAGGTGTTACAGATAGCCGTGGATTTCCTCATTGTGAACTGCTTGCTGGCAAGGGACGTGGAAAATTCAGCCAAGTACTGGTCACACTTGCATTTAATGTGTTCAGAGATATCTTCAAGGGCTTTGTTTCATGACAAAGATTGAGCTCTATGACTGCTTTAGCTCTAGGCTCACTTTCATTACAGTATATCGGCATAAAGAGTAGGGCGTAGCGGCATAAGGAGGAGGCTCCAGGTGCTGACATGCAATGCTCTATCTTGCACAAAGTTTATATGAAAAAATAAGAATATCTGCAGAGCTCTTTACACTGTATTTGGATTTCCAATGGAGTACTATTTGGCCTTTTGTGTGTTACAGCTGTTGCATCTGCAGGCCCCGAAAAAACATGTTGTGAGGCAATGATATAAGGCAAGTGATGTGATGTATCACATCTAATAATTCTGAAGGGGAAATACCCATTTGCTTTAATTAGATTCACTCAACACCAAATACATGTTTTATTTCCAAAAAGGGAAGTAGAAAGCTTATCCCAAATCTGGGGAACAATGTATTTACTGTTCATGATGTATATGTGTAGTCATCTGAAAATGGATTTAAAGTTACTCTGTTCTCCTCATGCTGTTGCTTACCTGTCGTATCCAAAAGGCAAGTGAAACAATTGGGTTTGGTTAAATATATAGGAAGATGTAGAGTGCGAGGTTGTCTTCAGAACTGTGTAACTGTCTCCTATAACCTATAATTGGTTCTCGAAGGAAATGTGAATTACACCTGCAGCTTGAGCTGTAGGTAATGCTCTCTGAGAATAATTATTCTAATTGTTTTTGGAGGAAAAAGAGTGGAGGGATATAGGTGCAACATGTGGTCAGCAAGTATGAATGTGATGTGTGTGATAGCCCTGCTGTTTGTTTAATTATGCTAATCAGTTCTCAGGTTAATTATCTGCATTGATTTATTTCTCAGACAACCACCTAGAGCGCTCTTTCTGTTTAAACCTGACCAGACTGGAAGACCATGAAACAAAACTGCCAGTTGAGACTTTTGATGTTCAAAAGGGCTTTGTACTCTTTCTACACATAGTGCAGAGGTTACAGCTTATACTTTCAGAGATGATTGCTACAAATTATCCACAGCCTTGTCACTTATAAGCTGGATCACCGGAATATAGGTGGAGCAAAATCCAAAGGGCAGTCAAAACTTTCAGCTCTTTGTTTGTGCTTCTCTAGAGGAACGTTCTGTACTGGAGTCACTACCTTCATGTCCACTTACTCTTCCCTGGGTGCAATGCTTCAGTGGGCTTTGCTGGAAGAACCCTGTTTTCTGAAAACTGATTTCTGATATCCTAGATTGGGTGCCCATATCTGACTGTGGAATCCACTGACTTTGAATTTCCATTTTTCCCCAACCTACTGTCTAGTTACTATCGCTAATGAGAGCGTGAGAGTGGAAATGAGCACCTGGCTCATGAAAAAGGGCTGCAAATCTATTCAGCAAAGTACACATCTGATGCTGAAGTTTTTCAGGGCTCAGGGGTGTGTGTGTATATGTATAAATATACATTATATGCGTGCATATTTATGTCTATTGCTCTGTACTGTTGGTGGTTTTTGTGGTGCTGTTCAGGTTCATTAGCCTGCCATAGAAGGCAGTTACGAGAGTAGTGGAGCACTGCAAGGATGTATTTGTAGGACTATTCTTTCACATCCTTCATGTGATGAAACTTTCTGGGAGTCCATTCAGTGTACATTGTGTTCTTCACAGGTCATTCAGTACTAGCTGATAAATCAGATATATTGAGAATGGCTTAGATGTGGTTTATCCTGCATATCACATAGAAATAAGGATCTATCCTGCGTATCACACTGAAACAGGGTTTAAACCCACCGTTAGGATCCTTGCTAGCCTTTCTAAACTCATGATCATCTCTTTAGCAATGAAGTGCGATATCATAAATAATGATTTCAACTGATAAGCAGGAGATAAGGAACTCTTGCAAAAATGATTTATGTAAATGTTGCTACATCCTTCCTACCAAAAAAAAAATCTACATACAAAAATAGAGCATGTCGACAGCACTTTTAGCTTTTTCTTATTTCTAGGTATTTTGATAACAATAATGGACCTCGTTTGGACATCATGACTGCAGCAGAGCTCGGTTTGGGTCCTTATCTCTTAACATATAAGCTCTGTTGTTTGAGCCCTGTAATTCCATGTTGGATTGCTGTTTAGATCCAACAGTTGCATCATTCTTGTACGTACAAACAGTGAGTCTCTAGGGCTTCTGACTACTCATCGCTTCACCCACAGTGCTATAATAAAGACAGCTCATTTAAATATATCATTAAAGTAGGGGTTCTTAAAACAAATTAACATTGTTATTTAGAGGCAGTATTGAGATAGGAAGGCAAGAAACATTTTAGGGAATGGTCTGCAAAGCATATGGTGGGAGTAAATGGCTTTGTAAGACCTGCTACCTGAATCCAGAAAAGCTCTCTTCTTTCCTTCTGCATGCTTGTTCCAGGTTACTCGGAGGAGTGAGAGAAGACCTAGGTGGAGGGAAGTAGGGTGCTGCTATTCATTTTCACTATGGAATTTTTATTTCACCACTTTAGGAAAAATACAACCAAGGCAACTTAAGAGAGGCCTAAATGAATCTCAGGAGGTGAGGGCAAGAAGGAAGGCAAGAGAAAAATATCATGCATCTTGCAGTGGCCCGGTACACCTCCCTACCCTGCTGATTTGTCAGCATTTCTTGCTGGAGAAGGGGGAGCAGTCCCAGGTACTCTGCGGAAAGGTGTAGCTGCTTCCATCGGCAGTACGGCAAAGCCTGATTCCAGGGAGCACACTGTGCATGCAGTTCTGCTTAATAACCATCTGCTTCCCAACACAAGCGACTGCGACGTGTGTAGCTCTCTAAGTGACTGTTTGTCCAGAGGACAGGTAAGAGGTTTCTAGCAAATTGTACTTCAGTGGAGATTTGCGCTCTTAAGCCTAAGCGCAGCACAGCATGCGCACTTTATATTGTTGAAGTAGCTGCAGCTTGTGGCCATTTGTAGACATGCACGTAAGGTTTGCTTAATTTCAGGATAATTGCTTCATAAGCCATTCTGTAGTGTGTTTATTATGCCAAAATATCATTAGATTCTTTGGGGAATTTATATAAAATTGGACATTTCCAGGGAGCGCAGATTTTTATTTAATGGAAAAGGAATCAGATGAGAAGACGCCCAATTAGCTGATCAAGTATGATCTCCAAAGCTACCATGTTCAGAGGAATCCCTCTTTCAGCAAGATGCAAATATGTCTCCTGTGGATCTAATGAACTCATAAACATAGAATTCAGTATTAGGACAAGTGAGAAGGTGCTTACTGATTAGTCCTTGTATGAGTAGGAAGCTACTTTCAATAGAAGGTTGCTGTGGTGTTCCTATCTCTTTTTTTTTTTTTTTTTCTGTTAGCTATTGCTCTTTTTCCTGTTTGTTTTTTGGGTTTTTGGGTTTTTGTTTGTTTGTTTTCTAGCTGAGAGCTAGACACGTCTTCTGTTCATCTCAAGGGCATTTTAGGTTTGAAATCATTGAATAAATGTTATAACAAGTCTTAAATATCCAAGTAACTGAATTACAATCAAAGCCGTATCTCATTTGATTGTCTGTGGTAATGAGATTAATACAATATTCTGGCCCGTGCCTGCGTACAACTTGCTCTGTGTATACCTTTGAAACAGCACAGATTTCCATAGGAAAGGCTAGGATCTGAAAACTGGGAAATACTTGCCACATGGCATCTATAATATTGCTTTTAGATATCCAGCAATATTAATCGGCAGCAATGTCATCTATCTCCAAACCATGATTGTTCTAAACTTCTTAATACCATTTCATTTCTCAGTAAATATGAAGAGGCTTTTGTGAATAACTGAAATTCATGCATGAAATATGTTTTCTTAGAGTATTGAAGTTTTCTTAAAAATATTAAAAAGACAATAGTGCCAGTTGTCAAATTAATGCCTTCCTTATACAATGTATTTTGTTTCACTGGTTTGTAACAGATTAGCATAACTGAAGTTCACAGGAAGCCGTCTGAGGCTGTGAGCATTCCATTAAATATCGTTCAGTTGGTATAATTTAACGTTTTGCGTGACCTGTATAGTGTTGGAATGTAATAAAATATGTGACTTAATATTAGCTTTTACCTTATGCGGTGAATACACAGAAGTTGCCCTTGCTATGGCAAAGTCCTGCACACTGCTTGTTTCCCAGTAAGTTTTCTGTTCTCAGAAACGTTTTGTATAAGTCTGTATGCTCACCGGTGCAGTGTGTAAGTGAAGGAATGACTGAGAGAGTCATGCAATTCCCACTTTATCTCATGCAATCTCGGTTTAGAGGTTTTTTCACTGTATTAGCCAGATCTAGAACTGGCACTGTTTGGGCAATGATGTTACGGGAGTAAGAAACCGGTTGAAGATCTTGAAGTGCTAGAGACAATTCCCTGTAAAAAGTGCAAGGAGGTTTCAGTGTGGCTAATATAAAGGCATTCTCATATAAAGGTGATTAACTACAAGTTCAGCTGGACTCACTATACTAAGGATGCAGAAGAAAGGATGGGTTTAGAAGACTTCTACATCATGGCAGCTTTAGCAACTTAATCAAATGAAGCCCCTTTAACTCCTGTTGCCAGAGCCTTGCTTACACAAGTCTCAAGTTACATACACAGAAGATGAGCAAAGCACTGCCAGTTGCTTGCGATGCCCTTTCCCCTGGGGTGACTTGTAGCTGAGTAGCACAGCCACCTGTGGATACTGGCCTGCTCTTTCTCACAGCTGTATGAACACTCAGTGTTATATGAAATGTGCAGTAAATAAGTGTGAGGTAGACCTTACCCTGTCACTTTAGCCCCCAACTCACAGTTCTGTTGTGAATGTGACCTGGGAAAACTAAACAATGCACTTCTCAAAAGCTTTTGCTTTTATTGCACGAATAGAGCTAAAAAAGGTCTTAACCTCATGAAAGTGGTTCTTTGTAATGTGTCCTCTTCAAAGGAGATGCTAGAGAACTCATTTTTTTTTTTAAGCTTTTATGAATGAAAGTGAACTTATTCAGCCATCTGACTGCACAGTGCTTTTGTTGGAAGTGGTAACGTAGAAAAGGCTTGTGAGTCTCTAATGCAGAGTGCTGCTGTTAAAAGAACAGTAGCCCAACTCTGCGAATGAGAGGCATTCAGTATTGGAGGTTAGAGCTGTGCATCTGGTCAGGAGCTGCAGGAGCCGTGTCCCAAGGGCAGATAAAAATCAAGCACTTGGAAAATATGAGCGTCTCTGACAACCATCTAAATAATTCTGAGAGTAATGGACAATTTAAGATTTAATTATTCTACAGGCTGCTACTCTTGCCTAAAAATAACTTTAGCATGTTGAACAGTGTCAGTCCAGTAGAAAATTGTCATTGATCTTTTTTTTTTAAAAACTTACTTTAAGTGAGTTTACTTCATTTAGCCGTGGAAAATACTGCTTTTAGTTCTTACAAACTGATTATTTGACAAAGTGAGCATAGCACTGAAATTTTGTTCTCAACAGAATGGGAAGACTTAGATTTAAAAAAAAATTGATAATGTAAAAATAGACCAGTGTGCTACCATCATCTCTGAAGGACTGGATTCAGGTCTACAGTAGTTTAGAAATGTGATCAGAAACATGCATGGTCCTTTTCAAGAAAGCACTGTACCTTTCAGTAAGTGTAGGTCTTAGCCCAAGAAGTCTGGGAATGAAATAACTGCGATGTAAAAGGGCAGTCATACAGTTACGGACAGCTTCTTGAACTGCCGTGTTAGTGCTCAGCATGGGCAAATAATAGAATTCATTCCAGTTATACACAGTAACTAACGAAGGCAGAGCCAGGTTCTGCTGCTCAGGCTGTTCTCTTTGCTTTGCTTCGCATCAGGGGTATCTTTGGAAAAAAGACTGTTCATGTTTTGCCACCTGTAGAGTTGTAGTAGGTCTCTTGCAATGCCTGTTAGAAACTTTTATTCTGACTCTTTGCTTCTGCTGGCAGCTTAATACTGCTCTTTGACTTCATAGTTGAAGCATAGCGTGCTGCACTGTAAAATTAATATCAGGTAATATGTATTTTATGCCTGGGCTTACCTCTGGTAGAGTAAAGTTTGTCTAGAAGAACAGTAGCTAGTATGCAAAAATAAAGTAGATGGGTAATAAGAAAATTCAGCTTAAAATGCAACATGCAGCTTAGTGTGGCGTTGGTTTTTTTTGTTTGTTGTTGGTGGTTTTTTTTAAGCTATAAGCCCTGATGAATTCATGGGAATTCAGACTGATAAATACTGAAATAAAACCCAGAACCACAGTGTTTTTCTAGTGTATTTCTAGGAACTTTATTGCTTTGGTTTTTGTTCCCTGTGTATTTTACTAGATCTAGCCACAAGTTGCTTATGGCTTGAAGAATACCGTAGTTTCCTGTAACTAAGCGTGTCGGTGTGATGTACAAACGCTAGCAATAACTGAAGTGTGGTTTATATCGTTTCCTGATTTACAAGGCTGGTCTGTGCTCTTTTATTTATTTATTTATTTTACATTCAGGTATCCTTTCCTGCCCTGTGTGCAAACAGACCTGCTTTGCAAGAGATGTAGTTGAAAATTTCTTTCTCAAGGACTTTCCCACCAGAAATTCAGCTATGGCAAAGGTAAGTAAAAACCACTGAGCTGTGTGCCTTGTGAGTTGTTAAATCACTGCTAGATGGACACTGATAAGCAGACCAAACTTCATATTGAACAACAGGAATCTCTTACAGTTCTGTGAAGGAATATGTAATTACTTCACCCTTAGAGATGGACGCACTGCCTTCATAGTACGTGTCTTTATTTGAAGGAGGAGTTTGACCCATATACTTGAAATAAAAGGCATTTTAAATGTTGATACTAGTGGTGTAGGACTGGATCTGTGTGGCAGACAATATACTAGGAAGATGCTGAATGTCTTGGATTCCTCATTATCTCCTTTCTACTCTCAACACAAAGTGAGCATGAACAAAGATTATTGGCTGGTGATTACACCGAGATTATCTATTTGATCCAGTGGCATATCATTGTTTTTTGGTCACTTATTTTAATGATGAAGCGATCACATCATGTTTCATTTTCCTGTGGTGGAACAAAGGAGAACTGTAAGGCCTAAGGTTACCACCTTGGCCTTATATTGATATTGTATGTAGAGGTGAAGAAGGATTTCACTTGCTTTAAGTATCCAATTAACAGGCAGGTCTACTCACAGTATTGCAAATTTTTTGGAACCTCAGGAGAAACAGAGGCAGGTGTGTACCTCTGCTCCCTCTGCGGTACAGAATTCTGTTATCTGCATTGAGTAAGAGGATTTTAGAATCTGGTAGTATTGCTGGTAATGGAGTTTAAACAGCTGGAAACATGTTAAAACTAGTCTGTAATCTGCCAATTGCTTTATCCAAAGGTAAGAACTAGTATCAAAGAACCAGGGATTGTGGGCTTCACCTTCTGAACAAGATCCTGGCCCTCCATCTGTCTCTTTTGTGCTTTTGATTGCTAAGGAAATTGGATAGCCACAGTGGATATTCAGTTTCAGAGCCTTTGGGCACAAGGGAACACGTTTTCCAGAATGCAGGACAGAAGACTTGCCTTTCCACTCCTCTGCACTCCTGTAGGAGTAGCAGCACTTTATAGGTTAGTTCTGTCCCCACAGAGAAGGGACTAACCCCTTTAAATTCTGACTAAGCGACTAACCCAGTGATCTAATTGCAAAAAAGTACAGAAGAGATGTGCTTCTTCCCTGTCACAGATAGGCAGTTGCCTGTCAGTCATTTTTGTTTCATTTTCTCCATCTTAAAAAAAGGAAGAATGTGCCACCTAATCCACGGAGCGCACTGGGAGAATTTGTTAACTAATGCGAGCAAAGTGTGTTGATGGCTTCAGATGTAAAGGGGCTTCAGAAGTGCGACATACTTTTATGTAAAGCAGAAAGAGGCCTCTTCATGTGCCCTCTTCAGAGAGAAGAACAGAATTCGTAAGATAGTGCTGCAGTGTTTAAAATGCCCTTAGTATACTGGGATTTCTTAATTACCGTGACTCACTTCATTTACCTTTTAATGAGAGTTGACATCGAAAGGAAATCAAATGAGAATATTTAATGTCTTCAGAATCACTAGATTATTTTTTCAAATCTTCTTCTAGAAGATAGTTTTTCTTCTCTGTAATGCCTTAGGAGTCCTAAGAGCAATTCAATAGAAGCAGAATTCTCCCTGGAGCATAGCAGTACCCTAGAGGGACTAGGGAACCTTCCGAATAGCTTTTGGCTTGCTTCCTTTTTATTGACAGTCAAGTCATGTAACAGTGAAGCTTGCCATCTTAACAAAAAACACTCGCCCCACCCCCACAAAAAACTAAAGCCACAGTCTTACCAGCAGTGATAGCAAAGAGAGAAGCACCAGATCATCCAACAGAGACAAAGCTGAACAGCCATCGCTTTCTTAATTTATCTAATGTGTTCAAATGAGAATCTGTCAAGGCATGTAACAAAGCATTTGGAAGCAAGATATTTCTCAGTGTATGAGAGGAAAGCACAAATGATAGAGCATGCTCTATACCAGCTGTAGGAATTCCAAAAACATGAGATTCAAAATCTCTTGCCTATTTCCCCATGTCATTCCAGGAACACTGTGCCCTACAGCTTAAAAGTAATGTTAACGCCGTATAGTTCAGCATAAATTCTACTCAGACTGTCTGACAGCCAAACAGTTATGGGTAGACCTGCGAGTAGGCAGTCTTGGTTATTACAGAGAAGGTAGAGCATCTCTGAACTTGTGATGTGTTCCTCCAGCTGACCCTTCATGATTACATTTTAAATTGGCCATTTCTCTTTATACAGCAAGATTTGCTCCCTAGAATAAATATCCTTACATTTTGATTATACAAGCTATTTGGTTCAAACTGTTGCATGTACCTTTTGGAAAACATTACTGATAGGCAAATAGCTAAAACACCAGAATAGCAACACAAATACTTTCCAGCTGAGACGGCAAACCTTTAAAGACATTTAAAGACATTCACAACTTTGCTTTGATGCCTTATTGTCAAAAATTGCTCAATGTCTTAAAAATTAGAAATACAACTCTTGAACAATAAGTTGATAAGGGACCTGCTGTAAAATTGCAGCCCCGCTGAAGGGAACGGTAAAACTTACATGAATTTCAGTGGAAGGAAAATTTTTATTCTTGGGCTGACATGAAATCTTTGAGTCAAACTTTGAGTCTCAGTTAGGTAGATACAGATGTTCCACTTAATATTTAAGCTGTAATTTAAAACTAGAAGGACCAGCAAAGGAAGAAATGTAGCTTTTCTCCCCTCAGGCAATCTAAAATCACAATCTGAGACAAGGTGAAGAGAAAATATTCTATTCCCTTCCCCAAGGCTTGGATCAGGGCCTGTGTGCTGAATGCATGCTGTTACGTCCTTCTCCTTGTGCTTTCCATCAGAACAGTTGGGATGCGATTTTAACTAAACTGAATTGAAGCTGAGCTGATGCCCAACAGAGAGGACACTGTAGGAAGTCACTTTGCTGTCTCGTATTAGTTGCTTGAGTAGCAGTGATAGTGGTAGCAATACTCAAGAGCTATGTACTAGTACAGTACAGTAGTATTACTACAGTAGATATTTTCTAAACTTGTAGGAAATGTTTGAGTGTGATAATAAGCTGGTGACAAAACTTTCAATGCTTTGATGGTAAAATTATATCGGTGATCACTGGCAAATTGTGTGGTGCTACGGTAAGTCAACAAATATTTATATTATGAATTCTCAGACAAGGTATTTTTATGCCTAGTGCAAATCCTTTTTCAGTGAAGTATCATCATAGCTATCTTGAAATAGCTCTTGAGTTTGTTCTGGATAACAAAGGAATCGAATTAACCACCTCATTTAAGTGCTGCTTTATTGATTTCACCTTTATTGACTATTCTAGACATTATGGCCTATATAACAAAGGAGAAGAGGGCATTCCCTGAACAGTTGAATCAGTACAGATGATAGTTAATTAAAAAGTTCCAGTTTTTCTCATATTCTCTTGTCTTTCTTATCTCTCATCAAATTTGAGATCAGTATATAAATTGAGCTCATCTTTGTCCAACTCTCTTTAGGGAACATTAGCTAAGTTTTCCATTAATAGTATGTGAGTGTCTATTGTTTTCAAAATTGCCTTACCATTTGGCATATTTTATTGTATTTTTTTGATAGCTATGCTGTATCACAGAATTGTTCATACAGTCCTACAGCCAATGTAGTAAACTCTAATTTTACGTAAGTAGTGTGGATCTAGAGTAACTCTACTGAATTTGCTCAAATTTAAATTCATATACCTGAAAGTAGATGAGGACCCCAAGGCTATAAGTTTTGTAGAGTATTGATAACCTTTAATAGGCAGAAACAGGTGAATGACACTGAAGCAAGATAAGGTAAAATGTTTCTTGATAATGCTGTGATTTAGGAGGAAACGTAAGGTTAAAATTTTTTTAATGGCTATCTTTGACTTTCCTTTATGTTTTGTTTTGTTTTATTTTGCAACCTAGACAATCTTTGTCTTATTTAAGAAATGGGTACACTAATTTGATGTTAGAGCCATCAGTAAATATTTCAACACTAATAGAAAGGGACTACAAAGCACACCACTCACTTTCAGAAATAACCTTCACTAGTCCTCCTTGTGCTGAAATAAGACTTGTCTAATTTCATAGATTCATAGTTTTTTCAGTTCAGAAGACAATTATTATTTATTCTGATCTCATGTGTAACAAAGACCCTAGAATTTTGCTGAATAGTTCCTGCATCATGTTGTAATTATGCTCAGTTATACTAGACCATAGAAAGACACTCAATTTGATTTAACAGCTCCAAATCTTTGTTTTACTCTAATCAATGCTCTTAATCACTTGAATCACACTAGTTTGAGGAAGAAAAAATATCGAATTTACCAATCTGAATCACAGTCTAAGATAACAGTATCTACAAGCCAATTGATTATCCTTGTATTTAATTGCATTTTTTGTTCTCAGAGTTGTTCCACTTGTAAAGAGAAGAGACCTGCTCACACTCTCTGTACAAGCTGCAATAAGTGGCTGTGCAGCTCGTGTACAGAGGAACACAGACATGTCAAGGAAACTGGAGACAGCTTCCTCTCTGTATCCATGAAGGACTGTTCAGGTACCGAAGATACACTTTGAAGTTTTACGTTTCTTCTCAAGCAGTTATTCAGTTCAAATGGAGCAGTCTCAGGCTCTGTGCCAGAGTCACCATGCTCCATGTGAGTCTGACTCAGAAGGGTTTGTATATGTGAATGAGAGATTATGCGACCTGCTATAATTTTAGGGGCCTGAACCTACCCTCACCTCAATCAGTGCACCGTGTTATCTAACACATCTTGGATACATGAGTTTCATGGAGGTGCAGTCTCTTCCGCATGCCTCTTCAGTTTGCAGAGCATCAGGTTAGGATTTGGTAGGCTTCCAGGCCAATAGGTCTTGCCCTTTCAGTGTTTCTGCCCCTTTTTGGATACTTGCCTTCAGGAAATCGCCATAAAGCAATCCCTGTGCTTGCAGGCAAGATGGGGAATGGAGGGTCACAAAGAGGAAAAGGCTGTGACTGCTGTAGGATGTTCTGTTCCTAAGGCTGGAGTGAAAAACAGGGTTCCCGAGTGTGACCAATGTGTTACTGTAAGCAAGCAAAGCTGGAACCTCTTGACAAATGTGTACCTCATTGCTCTACAGTGATGATTCACAGAGAAGAAGTCCTGAAGTCTTAAGTCCTGAGTGTTCCTATGAAACAGTTTGAGTCATTTCATGTGAGACGTGATACCCTGTGGCCAAATAGAGTGGAAACAAGAAAAATAATCTGTAAGAATAATAAAAAAGCACAGATGACAGATTTAAATGGTTTCTGAGTCTTTTCTAGAGAAAATAAAGACTGAAACACCCCCACAAATGCCCTGATTGGATGGACAATGTTTTTCTTCTTGAGTTGATGGCAAGATAAGGACTGTGGTTTTGAGGCTCTAGCTGTTTATAATTTCCCTTCACTCCGAGTAAGGCTTACCAGCTCATTTTTGCTGACAAATAACACTAAGAAAATCTACCTGTGGCTTAGTTGTGGTATTGTGTATGCTGTATAAATAAAAAGGTGCACACTTTTATACTGAAATGCTTTCTCATCTTTTTAGTCCTAAATACTCTACTGAAACAAAGAATAATGAACAGAGAGGTTAGTAGTACATATAGGCTAGTTAATCTAAAACATGATTGGGGATGTAAAATAGCCCCTTGGGATATTTCAAAGAAAGCAAAAACTGGGATATACTGGTATACTACAACTCAGGCTGAGAGTTTGAGAGTGTGTTTTTTTTTTTTTCTTTTTTTCCCCCCCCTTTCTGGAAGAAAGGGTTCTTCTGCTTTCAGGTTCAGTAACCTTCAATCTCTATATGGTGCTTCTGTACTACAGTTACTTTCTTCTCTGTGAGCTCTTGCAAGAGTGATAAAAATAGAGAGTCCCTTAACAGGTGTATCTTTAAACTGTTGTAACTTTTGCCGTTTTCTTTGCAAGGGACAGACTTTTTTTTTTTTTTTCTCACCTGAAAACTAAGATTCACTGGGTCTGAAATGAGGTAAGTAGGACCCTGCCCTGCCTCAGTCCTGCCCATTCTGGTATTTGTGTCATTTTGATAAACAACAAGCCCTTCCTTGAGGGGCAGAACTAAAGGAACCTAACTTCCCATGGGAACCTCTCTTTCTGCTTATTCCTTTGCCATATCTGTTCTCCAACTAATGCCTCTGATCTTCCCCATCCCACCATGCAGAACCGCCAGGTCTCTGCCCTGGTACCTCCCTGGACCCCTTACCCTGTGAACCACTCAACCCTTTTCTTCCTTCCAGAGCCAGCAGGACCCAGGTCATACAGCTGAACTGAGCTCAGGTCAAATTTGTGTTCTGAGGATAATGGGGGAGGGGGAAACAGGGCAGGACTAGACTGGGACAGAAAAGTAGCAGATTACAGAGGAATTTCCTAAGGAAAAAATTTTAAAGTAGCCTGATCTCCCTGCCACCATGGACTTGTCTTTTGCAAGCCTGAAGTGAAGAGCCGTAAGAGATGATGCTGCTGGCAGGGGATTCCCTTCAAGGGCTTCTCAGCTTGGAAAGTCTGTTCATGGTTGGAAATAGCTTTATTTTTTTCACCTTCACAACGTTCTGTGAGGGCACTAGAAACGTCTGGTAGCTAGTTTTTTTTTCTAGATAAGCTAGACTTCTTTATTTTGAATGTATTCATTGGGAATTAAAATGGGAAGTTGTGGGAATGGTCTATCTCACAGTTGTTTAGCTAAGAACTCTCATTGAACTCGTACATTTTAAAACAGGACTTTCTATTTTTAAGCCTAAAACCAGCTAAGTAAATAGCAAGTGCCAGACATCGCTCTGACTTTAAACAAAAATTTCCACCTAGCATTTATATGTTGTTCAATTGCTCCAGTACGTTCTTGTTGGCTGAACCACTTACAGAGGTACTGTCAAAATTTCAGTTCTGACTTATGAGTGCCAGGCTAATACAGCTGGTTATGAATATGAAATGCTGAGATGTGGTTCACAGCAGGGTTAAATCATGGGCCAAGACAGGAACGTTCTTTATATAATGGTGAATGAAGGAGGCAGCCTGTATACAGCAACATCAACAGCATCTTTTCCACAACCACTGTATCTTCCTGATAATTTAAAAAACAAACAAAAAACACAAGTTTTCTGTATCTGTGGCTGTTAGATGTGAAAACTTTAGTTCAGACTATTTAAATTCAAAAAATCAGAACTTTTGGCTCTCTTAGTCCCAGTTTTCTTAAAAAGATGATTCAGTTTTAGTATAGATTATCTCCTGGTTAAGTGGAAGCCTGTGCTTTGCATTTGAGTAGAAAAAATCCTTTTACCAAACTATATTATAAATAGTTGGTATGTAATAACCAGCTCACTTAGTTCTAAGCCAGTTCACGCACTGACTTATTTTGTCTTTGCTTTACTACTCTTTTCTTGTAGTCTCTCAAGGTTGAATATGAACCTATGAAATCAAAGCACAAGCCAGTGCAAACTATGCAAGTTATGGGAGGACTGTATTAGCCAAGATAAGATTACTCTTTCTCAGTTGGCATCTACTGGTTAGCATAACAGAGATTTAAGACTTCCTGTTTATTTTTCTAGAGATCCATGTGAGATAGGAAAATGCAGACTGTAGGAAATGGTGACTCAGATGATGCTAATTCAGAATTTGGGGCAACTGAACTTTCCCTTTTCTTCATGTGATGTTCTGCTCAGGAAACTAACCTGGATAGTTGTGGTCAAGATGTCTGCTCCTAGAAGAAGCAAGTGCATGTGCTTATTTAGCTCCTAATTCATATGAATTCCACTGATTTTAAAATTAAAGAGCCTAGCTCTGAGCTGAGCATAAAGTAGGTCTGGAATGCCTACTGCTGAGATTGATGTATCAGGGTGAACTGCCACTAAATTGAACTAGGGAATTACTAGAGATGGAGACTGTGGGTCTGTGTTGTAATTAAATAACATTGATTTTTATCCTTTTCAGTTTGCATTTGAAATGTGCTGTCTCTCTTAAATCTGACACAGTCCTGAAAAAAACACTGATTTCTTTGTGATGATTACAAGGGCCTGAAGGCTAAAGAACCCTTCAGAGAGAGGAAAAAAAAATGGAGAAGTTGTTACATGAGATTGTGAACAAGCTTTGTTACACTTGGCCCTGAAAGAGCACGTGTCCCTATAAGCAGGAGCTGTTTAAATATTTCTCCAAATACATATTTCATGGATAATTTGATCCTGAGCTTTCAAAAAAGAAAAACACACAGGGCACAGAACACCAAGAGGGGCTTTTGCAACACAGGAAAATTGGGATAAATGTTTTTATTCTGTGTGTGGGGGGGGTTGTTTTTTCAAGATTTGATATGATGTGATAGGGGAGGAAGAGATGATCTTTGACATCCAATTACTTGGTTATATGTTATTTGCCTTGTCATCTGCAGGGTTTTACTGCAAAAGCACATACGTGCAGTGCAATTGGAGAAAATTTGGCAGTTAAGGTGAATATAGTTTGTATCTTGATACAAAAATTGTTGGCATGGGCTAAAAAAAAAAAACCACCCAGGTTCAACGTCTGCTTTTAATAATGCTATCTATTAGGTTTTGGTTTAATGATAATATACAACAATATATTTTCCTGAAGAATAAAGTATAGTACTCTAGTGAATATATCATAAAAACATAAACTACGTAATGCTATTGCATAAAAATCTTGACCTAATCTATCACAGTCACCTCCTTGCGTGTTATGTCGAGAAAGGTGAGGGAAATAGCTCGACCAACTCAGAGGAGACAGCAATCCAAAAGTTAAGATGCTTGGCTTTACCTGCTCGGGTACATATTTTCTTCAGAGCATGGCATGGATTTTCTCCATACTTTCATTTTGTGTGTTAGCTCTCAGATTTTTTTAGCCTTTCTACTTTTATGTTGTGCATTTTCCAATTTGAAAATAGATTGAAGTGACTGAATTAGTGTAGCTTGCTGTACCTTATGTTCTATGTTATTGAAGTAGAATCGGTTCAGAGGCTTGATTGTATACAAGGCTTCATTTTGCTAGAGGATCAGGCATGGTCCCTGCCACAATTTGTTGTTGTTGTTTTTAAGTTTAGATAAATAAAAAGGCTTTATGAGGCTATAATGTTATAGGAGTACGTTTTAAATTTTTACTTAGTTTTTGTCAGTGAACGTTGATCTAAAGATGATTGCTTTGTTGAATTTCTCGTGGATTGGTAAAAATGATAGGAGAGTGTCATTGTAGGAATACTTGGAGGATGCAATTGTGTGATTTCCTCCCCCCATACTTCTCTATGTGCTGATAATGTTGATGATCCTGTAGACAGAGGTCTTGAACATTCACCTGCATAAATCTGCCATTGTACCTAACACTGCTCAAGCTTTCAGACCATTTTGAGCAAATGATGGGTTTCCATAATACTGATGACGGGTGGTCCTTAACACCTTACACTGATAAATTAGTTCTCTGAAGTCTAAGTTGTTTGGGAATCCAAAATGAGAGGTTTTTCTGAACTTTTAGTATAGATTTATTTGTGCAAATCCAGCTTCAGTGGAAGGGATTTTGTTTTACCACTTTTTGAATTTTCTTGCATTCTTTCATTGAGTGTGTTCTTTCTTTCTAAAGCAATTCCACCATATCCAGGAAAGAAGGAAGAACAGATTAAAGAGGAACAATGCTTCTGCTTTACATTTCTGCTGTTCATCAACTACTCTTCGTCACCTCGCTCTTTTAGAAAACTCTTATTAGAAAACGTATTAGTGTATAATATCAATATTCCCTAGCTCCTGAAATTGATGTTCTGCATTTATAATGAATCCAAAACAGTTTGTAAAAAGCAACCCCCATGTGACTTTTTAAGAAATAAGGATTTCCTTGCTTCTGCTGTGACTTCAGATTTATTTAATGTATTTACTCTTCTATGTTACAATACAGTTTTGACTGGTTTGCCAGCCCAGAGAATTCAAAGTCATGAGGCAGGTTCCCAAAATCATGAGATACTTAAAACTCATGTGAATTTAGAGGGCAATGTAAATTGGGTTCAATTACTTGTTTCTGAACCTCTTTGATGTGCTCAATTTGTAGGATCTGCAAGACCAGGAAAAGTCCCAAAAAAACCCTGCCTCATATAATCAGATGGTTCCAGGGTCTGGGTCTTTAAAAATAATATCAAGGCTTTCCAGTAAAATTGTGAGAGTTGGCAACTCTTTTTGAACTGTAATAGCAATTTCTCTCAGTGATGCCATTGCTTTATATTCCTCAGTGACTGAAGATGAAGCAAGTGAATTTTCCTTATTTTGTCCCATGCATACTCAAGAGCTGCTCAAGCTGTTCTGTGAGACCTGTGATACCCTTACGTGCCGCAGCTGCCTTCTGATAGAGCATAAGGAACACAGGTACCGAACGCTAATTGCTCAATGTCTGTTTCATAATCCCATCTAAAAACATATTTTATTTAGATTTAAGACTGTTCCTCTGCATTTCCTGTCAGCTGAAACTGTAGGCTAGTCCAAACTTACAGGTCACAGCAAACTCAGTTCAGTGGTCTTATGCCTAAGCCATGTGACATATGGGTTATTATCCTCACAGGATCATACACTGCTCTCAGCAGTGTATACCCCTCGGGTTGTATTATCTGCCAAAATACTGTATATACATGCATCTAGTTCCTTGCGGTTGTACTCAAAGGCGGAAGCTGAACATGGTTCAAATCCTTGTATTTACTCTAATCAAAGACACCAAGGCTATACAAGGTGAGAGTTACCAATGCTGAAGCTTGCTGTTTGCCTGCAGAAGTGTGTGAGCCATGTAAGAAATTGTATGTAGACAGTGACAGGGGGATTCCTTGTAACATGAGCCTGTCTCTGTGAGGTGTAGTAGTGTCTGGGATAGCAGTTACAGAGAGCATTTGTCAGTAGGAAAGGAGGAGGTGACCGGCTCCAAACAGACATTAAGGCAGCCGCTCCCCTAAACTGCCCATCTGACAGCAGCTGACTTGAACATGTCTGCTTCTTCTGCTTTAAGCATATAGCTTCTACCTTCAAATACAGAAAGCCAAAATCTATCTATAGGAGTTATGTATAGAAGGAAGGCAGAAGTTGTTTGGGAAGAGCAGTACCTGTGGCAGCTAAAATGGATTGCTTGGATTACAGGGGCCAGCTCCTACAATTCATACACTATAGGCGAAGTTGGGGAGCAGACAATAAACAAGTAAATAAAGGATGACCTCATTGGAGAATCTGCTGCCTAAGTATGGAGGCTGCAGTCCAGCTGAGGCCCCTTTGAACACTGTCAGGAAGTATGAACTCCTTATTAGCACGGGCTACCAGCCTTCAGTAATAAAAATGATTTATTTTTCAGGCTGGCAAAGAATGTTTTTAAACACAAGTTCTGTGAGATTCAAACCTAGGTTTTCTGGCCATCTACCAGATATCTGGAGTGACCTTCCTTCTTAAACAAGTGTATGCCTTTGCACTTCATCCATTGCATAGAGATAAGAGCTAAGATTCTTATTTGCATAAGCCGTATCCAATAGCAGGTCCAGTGGTTAGGACAGCTCCCTCTCCTCTCACCATGGGATTGAGGCTTGATAAATAAGGCAAAATAGACCCTTTGATCTGTGCATCCTCTTGAGTCCTCAGTGTATCTGGCTAGCTGCAGAGAGAAACTAGCAGTATGCAAGGGAAATACGGAGCAGGAGGTGAAATCTAGCAGTGGGCAATTTTGCTTAGCCGTTCAGTGTTGTGGCAGCCACACTGGATCCAGCAATTTCCCTCTAGCTTGTTGTAATATCAGGAAGTGCAAACAATGCTTTATTTGAGGTTATCGAAGAAGAACACAGCCATTTAACTTCTCAATAGTCGTTTGTCAACAGAAAAGAACATGGTGTGAGAATTTCCCTTCCTTTCTCAGGTTCAGACACCTTGATGAAGCTCTGCAAAATCAGAGAGTTATCCTGGAGAATGTCATAGCTAAAGTGGAACAGAAAAAAAATGGGATTCAGGTTTCAGCTAAACAGATTGAAGACAGGTAATTGTTATGCATTTATTTCATGAAAGTGAATGATCAGTAAATATATTATTTTCACTAAATGTAGCTTACCAGCAGTAATTGCAGATGCTATGTTTTTTCTTGGAGAGTAGGTAATAGTAGGAAGATTAAAAAGACCAGGTTTATCTTTAAATGATGCTCACATGTCATGGCATTGTACTGCAGGATTTGTTAGTCCATGCGAGTCATGTGGTAGCTGACTTCAGAGTTTAATGTTTTATTTCTATAATCTCCTGTTTCTGAACTAGAATTTAAAAAGATGAGATAATTTTTGAAATAGCTTATTTCTTCAAGAAACCTCAAAACAAGCTACAGTTTCAGTCAAGACTGCTATAAAAATGAAAGTATTTCATTATATGAACTAGATTTCAAGTACTGATTATGTACTACCTGTTAGTTTTATTAATACAGAAGGGATACTCTTGCAAGTGTTTGAAATAGGTATAAATCTATACTCTAGCATAAAGTGAAATCATTAAGTAGAAATTAATTTTTATTTCCTCTTTGTTGTAAACTGGCCATCTGAATTACATGAATTTTTTGGATGTGGCTTCTGCATGTGTTTGTTGAAGAAAGACTGTTCTTAGCGTGATGTTTGTTAGTGTCTATCAGCATTAGCATGTTCTAAGAGAAGTATGGGAAAAGTTACAGGAAATGATACAACTTTAACTAGGCTTCTTCTCCAATACTTATATCAATTCTTGTAACAAGTAACTGTCAAACACTGAATGGCGTATCAGTTGGCTCATCTGGGATATTTGTCTTCCCCACAGGTTGCTTGAAATAAAACATTTATACAAAAAAGTTGAGAATCAAATCAAAACGGCCAAAATGGTTTTGATGAATGAAATCAATAAACGAACAAACATCCTTCTTGAACAACTTGAAGTAAGTAAGGGTAGTTTCTTTGATATCTTGGGAAATTAAACTAAATTAAAATTAAATCCAAATGCAATGGAAGGAATACAGATTGTGAATGTTAGTGCCCCTTTGCTTATGTTTTTAAATATCTTTTTTTCTGCAATTGTAGGTTGGATCAGTGGTTGACAGGGTTTATGATAAAGTGACAGAGTGGATGCATATCATGAGTTAACCACATTTTCTAATGCAGTTACAGAGAATGTGTGTGCACATTTTGAGTACTTACAAAACAAACCAACTTCTTGCTTTCATGTTTATTGCTTTTTCTGAACTTAGACTTATCAGTTGAATAGGGTTTGCTTTATATGATTGGTAGTTTAAAGAATTTCTAAATAGCAGTGCCAATGCAAATAATGCATAATGTAATGCCAATGACTGTATACGTTATATGTCTGACAATTAGCTCCTACTGTTTGACATTATTAATAGAAAATCACCAGTGAAAGGAAGCAGAAATTGGAACAACAGCTGCAAGGCATTGTGGTTTTAAGCAGACAGGTTGAACATGTGCAGAACTTCATCAGCTGGGCAGTGTGCAGTAAAAACAGCATCCCGTTTCTCTTCAGTAAAGAACTGGTAAGAGCAATACTTGTTTTCTCAGTAAACTGAAGTTGTGCAGTAAATGTGAGAAGTGTTTTAAGGACTTAACGTTTCCCAAATGAAATGCTTTTTGGGATCTTACAGTCATGAATAAAATCATAATCCTTTGATTTGTTACCAGATTGTATTTCAGATACAGCGCTTGTTAGAGACAAACTGTAGTACAGACCTAGGCTCTCCCCTGAAGATCAGATTTACTTGGGATCCCTCCTACTGGACTGAACAGCTGTCCAGTTTAGGTAAGAAAAATAAAGTGTTTTTGTTTATTAGGCAAGTGCCCAAAGTTGGATGAGACAGATCCAGAAAATACAGTACCTCTCCTTTTTTGTTTTGATTTCTGCTTTAGTTGTTCTTGTTGCAGACCTGAAGAAAAGCTATTGTGACTGAAAACTTCTGTTTTTTTCCCAGTTATATCAACTTGCCCATTAAAGGGCATCACTGTATATAAATATTATCCTGTAAACATTACCTGTAAATATGTTATCTTTGATCTTAGAACATTGCAATGTAAGAATACAACTGTTAGTTTAGTAAAAACACTGTGCAGGGCTTAAGTGGTGCAAAACATAAGGTTTCTAAGCACTATTTCCCTGCACTAATGCATTCTTAAATGAAAGATGTTGTATAACTAACTTTTATTATGTGGAATACAATATACAGTGGCATACAGCGGCCACAGTGCAGCTGCTAGACTGTCTATGTAAAATTCACAGAAATGTATATTATGATAGTGGTAGAATTGCTTAAAGATAAAAGGTTCCTAAGGTTTAGGTAGGGTCACAACAAAATATGATTGTAATTATTCTATGAAAAATGAATGGGAGGGTAACTAGTTTACTTCAGGTTTGTGAGAAGGATGGATCCTTAGTCCAAATTTACCTGTTATAATTAGAAAACAGCATCCAAAACCCACAGAATACAAAGGAATGAGAGCCACAGAAAGACATTGTAAGTTCTATAGCAACATTCTTTTGCCTTATATTGTAATAATGTACACAGAATGCACTGGAATAGAAATCCTTTCACTTTGTCAGCTGATGTCACTTTGCAACATACAATAACACTTCAAGCTGTTTGTTAAATGGCTCTGACCTGGTTATTTTCGTATTTATTGTGAGAAGAGGTTAGGAATGGACCTGTTTTTCATTTGCATGAAACTTTAAATAGGAATTAATTACAGTACATAAAATTCTCCCAAATCCTCTAATTAACAGCTAAAGCTTCAATTATTGCTTTTACTTTATAAAATATTGAATATGATCGAGTATAAACTTCTAACTGAAATTACTCAGCATGTAGTGTTATTAGCTGTCAGATAGCCTTGACTTTGCCTGTTTTATCTGAAATTCAGTTCTGTGCTGGGAGTGACAACTCTATAATTACAACCTTGTGGTCCTAGCAGTCGTATCAAGGGTTCCCTGGGTGAAATGGCGAATCTGCAGTGAGCCTTGTGATGTTTCCTCTGCCTTACTCAGGGAGAGCTGGGCTCAGCTGTGTCGGTGCTGCACAGATCCTCTGGTGTCTTAGCAGCCAAGGAACCTGAGCAGTGCTTGAGACTCTTAAAATTAATGGGCACAAAGATGGCTTTAAGTCACTGGCCATATAATATTGACTCTGTTATTTATATAATGGATGTGCATACATCGAGTTTGTTACCCACCAGCTATAAATTTCCTAACTGTAGTGGGTTTCTACAGTAAGTTCAGTTCAGTGTTCAGATCAGCGGTCTAAAATGTTGGTTCTTCCCATTTTAAAATAGTTGAAATTAGATGTAGTAAAATACTAGGAAAGGTATTGCAGGGAATAATATTATCTTGGTAAAGCGCATGGACGAGATCAGTTCATTGGTCGTTTCCATTTGTAGCTTCTGTGACTATGATTCAGTCCTACGTAACATAAATCTGTTTTATTTTTCTCACTTTCACCCTGAAAGCAGCCTTTTGTACCTTTGCTTATGGATGAAAAAATATGCTCGTACTTTAGTGAAAAATGGAAGCATGAGCTACATCCATCAATTAAAATAACGTAAGTTGAGGGCAATTTATCAAAACATTGACTAGTATTTCAATCATGAGTTCCACTGACATCAGCAGGAAATTGATGCGACTTTAAACCACACAAACATCTTGAAAAAAGGCATCTTGAAAGTATCTGGAAGGACTGTGTGAAAAGGATACTCATATATATTGTTTTACAGGAGGTTTCACTATGGAAGGTGGACACATTTCTCATTCAGATGTGCTTCTCTGTGGAAATGCACAAGCATTACAGACATCCTTGTATCACGGTCAGCAATCACCAGCATCACAACTAGAGCCTGCAAATAGCCAGCCGCATCAGTTGCCACCTCCAGTTCAGTGTCCTACACCTGTATGTTGCTCACACTGCCTCAGTGTACCTCACCGGAACAAAGCTCAGCCTTCGCACCAAAACATGAACTGTCATCAGAATTTTCGACAACCTCCTGAACCTCATAAGCAGCATTTTCCACTGCAGCACAACATACAGCAACATGACAAAGAACCAAGGGGTACCTCCCAGCCTCTGAAACTAACACAGTCTGGGCTGGAGCAACAATCTCGGTCAGAGCCAGATAATATGTTTGGGAGAGTTGGAAAGCATTTACCAGCCCAGCAGTTGCAGCAGAGTGCATCTCCTGGTTATGCTGTGGCATTGCATGAAGCTCGGCAAGTTCACACAAGCCATCAGCAGCCGTTGCGCACGCAGGCTCCTTTGCAGACTCCAACTGTGCATGTGCAGCTTGGCCATCTCCAGAAGATAAAGCCTAACCACTTGCAGCAGCAGCCACCAGCATCGCCACCATCAGGTCAGAATGAGAACACCCACAAACAAGTCATCCAGCAGAGCCTGGACATAATGCACCACCAGTTTGAACTGGAAGAGATGAAAAAGGATCTGGAACTTCTTCTCCAGGCTCAAGGACAGCCCAGCTTGCAGCTGAACCAAGCCAAACCACCTCAGCATGTTCAACAGACCATAGTTGGTCAGATCAACTATATAGTGAGGCAGCCAGCCCCGGTTCAGCAACAAATCCAAGATGAAGCACAAGTAAATTCTTTAGAAGTCATTTCCCATTGTATTTAGTCAATGTAAACTTAAATAGGGGAGACATCTTTGTGACTTCATATATTTGGTTAGACTTACTGTCGTCTTGTCTGTGTTTGTATTTCAGCAGAGGCTTCAGGTCTAATGGAGAGCAGACCATTATTTTCTGTGAAGTGCTGCATACACAATATGTATTCCAAAGATCTGACTGTCTAAATAGACAAGGCAAGCAGAAAGTGGGAGAATAAAAGCATTATCGCTCTTTTATGGATAGGTGATTAAAGGACAGATAAATAGAACGACTGACTTTAGTTTTACAGCAAAGAAGGAATAAACCACATCTTTTGAATCCTGGTCCAGTGTCCTAGCCACAGAATTGTTCTTTGTTCCATGTGTTAAGTCATCTTATTTGTTATGTGGCACTTCCACAGAAGTTAAGGGAACAGAGGGGAGTCATTTGATTTAGGTTACGCACTGCAGTAGCTTCACTCTCCATCTCAACACTACTTTTTTTACTGGAAGCTTCCAGCCCTGAGTCCTTGAGAAGGGTACCTTTTTGACTCTGGCTGAGCAGTGGAAAGAGAGTGGAGGAACACAGTTTTTCAATCTGAGAGTTATTTACTGTTCTACCAGTAACTGCTCTTGCTATTGCATCATGTCCTTTAATGTTTTTTGGGTTTTTTTGCCGTTATAGTTGCTGTAGTGTTTAAGAGTTTTGTCAGAAAGGCGAATTTATCCCTTCTTCCTGTGTTAGATAGAATTCTGCTATTTGAATAAGGGACAATGCCTGGTGGTGGGCATCCAAACTCTCTGAAGCAGATAAAGTGGTACAATAAAGTAGCTTTGCAGCTCATTCAGAGCACAGTGGGGACTCTGGCAGATTGGAAGAAAGGTGGTTGGGATTTTCCGTTGTGCAAATCCTGTGGAGTTCCCACCTTGAATAGCTCTCAAAGTAGTTTAAGCATAGGGGCAGATAGAACACTTCTGGAATAGCTATCCATTTCAACAGCTTTGTTATGGATTTTTTCCGTGAAGTGTTTCAGAGAAATGTCTTTCTGTATCTGTTTCTCTCTCTAATTAGTTACTCTGAATACCTCTGTTGCTTTAGAGTCTTTTCACTGTTGTCATATTATATATGCTGTGAATTGATGTGATTTTGCTACTATTTTACTTTCTGAGATTTTGAAAATGCTAATTCTTAATCTTTATTTGTAGATCTGTGAGAGTTCTGTTGAACTAGATGTTCAGAAGGCTGCAGTTCCTCCTGACAGAAGTGATAGTCCCTCCCTGTCACAGTCCCTGGATGAAGGATCCAGTGTCAGCAGTCACTCTTCTGAGAGCATATTGCAACAATCAGCTTTTCATCCAGTGAGAAAGGTATAAAGAACTTTTAAAAATGAATATTTTAAAGAGAAAACATGATTTCATAATACTGAATGTAATACCACATTAGAATTTGCATTCAAATTGAGAAAATTAAAATACATTAAAAGCTGACAAAATGGCTTGTAAATCTTAGATAGCTTAACCTCGTTTGTGTCCCTCCAGTAATGCTACTATACACTGGCCTGTAGCCAGGATTGACACTGTTCTATAAGCTAGTAGTGTCAGCCTAAGTCTGGCTGACGTGATTGTAAAGTGTGTACTGGTATATAAATACAACATCTCTTTCTTCACTGAGTAAATTCAGTCCAGTCTGTATCTGTTGTATTTTAAAAAGAGTACATCAGGGATTCTGATGATATCAGGCATGACAAGCATCCTTCAAAATAGTTGCACTGGAAATAACGCTAATTGTTACTGAAGATGTGGTGTCTGAAAGAGATACAATTGTTCTTTTTCCTTGTGTGTATGTAAGCAGAAAATCATAGGTTTTTGTATCTCTAGAATGTTTCTGCATGTAACAGAGCCAAACTTTGATTCTCTACCTAGTGGGAGCCCCTAACTATTAGAGAAGCCACATAAACAAAGACAGGAGAGCTCATATTAGTGAATAAATACTTGCTGGCTTTGGATACCACCTGTGCACTTGAGGCAGGCAAACTGCCTTTTATCTCTCCATACGATTTGTTTAAAACACTCCAAACAGCATTTTACATCCTGATTGCTCACATCTGTGTGGTACTTCTGTGCATGGCTATGTTTGTGGATGTGGTCTCAGGCTATCTTCTACTATGCAGAAGTCTTTCATGGATGTTTCTTTCCTGGAGTTTGTGTGTGGAGGATTGCAGAAGAACTTGTCTTTCCCTTATTGCCCCCAAAAAGTTATTTTATCCTGCATTCATTCCTATCTTTGACCTGATATATTTATGATGCAACACTAACTTAGAGTTACTGGAGATACTTTTGGGAATTGTAGAGACATGGAAAGGTGATTACTGAGGATTTGGAAGAAACACGCAAACCGCTTTGGGAAGCTACGGTGAAATCTGCAATTGTTAAACCCATAGATGTGATAGAATTTCTGCATCAGGCTGGTGGGATCACAACGTTCTGGGATTTGACCCTCCTTGGATCTGAATTTTCACATGTGAAAGCAGATCTTCCTGGACGTCTGATGGAGTACACTACTGAGGAAAGCTGTGCAAATTCAAGATTGGGCTATGTTTACTTTAGGAAATAACTAAAAATCTCTGAGATATGCATTTAAGATCTGGGCAAGAACATGAACCTAGGCGTGTACTTTTCTTGCACCATAGTCATGCCCCCAAAGTTATTTATGGGGGAAAAAAAAGGGAAAGCTAACCAAGCTTTCAGAGACTCTTTCAAGATGTGTGTTGAAGAAGTCGCCCTTGTCTTCTGGACCCACAAAGGAAGGTTTCTCTCAAGAACTAAAATTAGAAAAGTCAGAAAGAGGGAAGAAAACAAACAGGTATGCAAGAGAAAAACTAGCGTAATGTGATGGGGAAAGGAGGGGGAAGGAAAAAAGAAGAAAGGCTGATTCTTTGCCAAACAAATTGAGAAGAAGGCAGGAGGAGGATACTCCTAGGAAAAAAGAGGAAAAATTCCCTGTAGGTGCTAAGAATTCTATGCTCTTGTGCAGAAAGCATATATCTCTACACCTTTCACTGTTTTCCTGGTAGCTCTGGAAGAAATGGGAACACTCAGCAGCTACAGCACACTATCTTTGCCCATTTTTGTCTCTTGTAAACGGCCTGTTTGGGGTGAAGTCTTAATATAATGAAGGCAAAAGCTTATTAGGAATGATTAAAGGAAATGGCACATTAAGGAAACCCTGCAAATACCCTTCATGTTTAAAGGTGTATGACTTCTTTTGTTGGCAATGAGACTAATTTGAGCTTTGAACAGGAGACCAATTCTAATATAAGAAGAAAGGGATGCATCTATTCATTCTCATGTGTTTCACCTGATTATTTAAACATTCCTGCACTCATCTCCAGATAAACATTTCTGTAATCACAGAATCACAGAATGGTCGAGGTTGGAAGGGACCTGGAGATCATCTAGTCCAACCCCCCTGCTCAAGGAGGGTCACCTAGAGCACATTGCCCAGGATCATGTTCAGATGGCTTCTGAACATCTCCAAGGAAGGAGATGTTCAGGAGATGTTCTACAACTTCTCTGGGCAACCTGCTCCAGTGCTCAGTTACCCTCACTGGAAAGAAGTTTTTCCTCGTGTTCAAGTGGAACTTCCTGTGTTTCACTTTGTGCCCGTTGCCTCTTGTCCTCTCACTGGGCACCACGGAGAAGAGACTGGGCCCAAAACTTCAGAACACTTCATCTCTGTCATAAAAGTTCTTGAAGGACATCACAAAATGTGATGAAGAACTGTGCAGAAGTCTAAAATACTCCAGAAAGCATGATAGAGAAAATGGCAAAATAAACTTTTTTCTACTAGAAGAGGAATTGTATTCTGCCTTTTAGACAATTACGGCTGTTAGACTTCTAAGACATGTTTTGTAGTTCTGCTAGACTCTGACACCCTTCCTTATGTGCAGCACTCCTAGTGGAGTAGGTAGTTCTCTGCCTATTGAGATTCCTTCGTTAAAGAAGCAGCAGCGTGAACCAGGATGCAGCAAAACTCAAACTTAACTGTTTAGATATATATTTGCCAAGATCTGTCAAAAAAAAAAAATCCACTGCAGTTACTATTAGCCCAGTGGTTTCTTTTTTTGTAAACCTTGACTATTTATGTCATTAAACATTTGTGTTTTAATTTCAAAACATGTTTATGATGTGCACTTAATATTGTTGACTGATAACTAGATTAATTTTACAAATATCATCCTATATATATATGTGTGTGTGTGTGTAAAACGATATAGAACAGATGCTATTGGGATCACTACATTGCTCATAAATGGTGAAACCACACGTTATTCAGAGCTTTCCAAACAAGTGCTAGTGCAGCCGTTACACCACGATGTTAGGTATTCGTACGTCTGGAGTGCATTCAAGTTCAAAGAACATGTGTCAGAGTTAGTGAGTGCTGTTCTCTATCTAGCATCTTTAAAGCTGGTTATTGGTAAATAAAAGTAGAGAAGTAGTGATGAAACACCTCAAACACTTGCAAAATGTCTTCAAGGCTTGTATTTCACCATCTGTCAGAACAAAAATTAAATCTAGCTTCACTGCGCAGACAGAATTTTGGCTTTCTAGTGGTATAAATTAGGGATTTCTAGCCAGTGTCAATCAGATAGGAACTACCCTGGGCTTTAAGAAAGCGATAGCTTAGATGCCATATTTCTATGTCCACCAGCTCTGTATGCACAGGTATAGTATAGTCTTTGAACTTATAACTTAAGTTACGTGTGGGCTTGTTTTCCTTTATTTCACTCTTTTGGGAACTTTAGTGATAATGTTTTGTCAGCCTTTCTGTCTTCCTTGTGTACATCTAACTGGTCTTTCTCTGTGAATTGAGTTTATGCAGAAGAAATATTTCTATACGTAGACCATTGAGATGTAAATCTGAAGTATTGCACATAGCATAATTTGGGGCTTGATTAGCACCTTTTAAGATTGTAGCACTAAAAATGTAATTATCTTGTCTGTCTGCAAAATGAGCATAACTGTCTCCTCATGCTTTCCGATCAGCATACCTCACTTTTCACCTAGCTGGAACACCTACTTTGATTGAAAGAGCTATTCTCTCTCCATGCCTGCTGAATACCTGATCTCTCTAGTGAGAATGCCAACAAGACACAGAAATAATCTCAGGCTAACTCTTGTAATACTGGCTTTTGTCTTTCGAGGAATTTTACCAAGCTCTAGCAAACAGATTTTACACAAGCCATTGAATTGCTATGTTGCAGTGTGAAGGAATGAGTACTCAATTAGATTAAAATTTTTGTGGGGAGGGTTACCAGCCTTCTGGAATGATATGGTGTTCCTATTGCTTTTGCATAGTATGCTATTAAGTTAGTAATTTGCACATAGGACTCCAGTCTCTGCATTCTCCAGAGCAGAAGCAAGAATAATAAGATATTTTTGGCCTAATTGTGTTTTTAGAGGTAATAAAGGGCATGTAGTCCTTGCTTTGCTTGCATGTACCTAGTTGTCATTTATGGCTGTGATGAGCAACAGGTCTAAAGGTTGTACCTAGCATTTGGAGCAATGTCATAATTACTGTACTTCAGTAGGACAAATTTATAGTTTAAGCCTCAGGTACGACAGCAACAGGCTTTGCCGTTGCTGTAGGACCTCTCCTCCTCAGACTAAGTACAGTCCTTTCATTACTTTGGAGCTAAGCCTTTGTTTCTGGGAGAGAGGATTCCTTGGCTCGTCCAGCTTTTGGATCAGGCCCTGGACTGTGGTATGCTCCATGCCATCTCCACTCATCTTAAAAAAAAAAAAAAAAAAAAAAAAAAAAAACCTCTTATTTAAAACAAATATCTGAATATGCCATGCATTGTATTAGTAAATCATTATGGAACATGATTGAAGAGCTATATTTGATCATATATAGCTGTAGCCAATAGCAGATACTTAGGGACTGGTAAAAGAAACAAGTAAATGCTAACTGATCCTTTACTGGTATGTTACCCCAGCTTCTGGAAACCAGCACTTTATAGACTTCCTGAGCTGAAGGTTGTACTCAGACCATTGTGTTTTGCAGCCCTTCATAGATCCCTCATCTGTGAATTTTTTAAATCCCTTTTTTGAGTCCATGTTTATACTGTTGGTCTCCTCAGCATCGTGAATTGTGAAGTTCTTCTGCTTGATTATTTTAAATCTTTTGCCTGATAATTCAATAGGACAGCTTCTAGTTCCTGTGTTAGGAAAACAGCGAATAATCATTCCCTATCCACTATCTCCATAACATCTGTGATTTTAGAGGTCTGTAATGAATTTTCTCTCAAATATTTCATTTCGAGGCTGCAAAGTGATTGCTAGTCTTTTCAGTGCCTTTCTGCATGGAAGCCATTCTATGCTTTGGTTCCTTATACCCCTGGACCTATTTTCTAGTCTTAATATATCCTTTCTGAGACAGGGTGACCAGAACTAGTAAGTAAGGGTCGAGCATGCTGAAAATGTATGTAGTGCTGTAATGATTTCTGTATTGTATTGTTTTGTTTTAGTTCTCAGTAAGTCATGACTTCTTACTTATTTAAACAGCTCTGTGTTGGTCTCTCGGGCACCACAGAATACCTGAAACAGGGAAATCCTAGAAGATATTCCATGCCGTCCAAGGAGTGCTCCTCAGTGCGTTCTGAGACATGCATCTGTTTTATTCCAGTTACATGCAATGATGGTGTCCCATGTAAGGCTAACACCTTGACAGTTCACGGTGGAACCTCTTTACTTCTCCTGAGACATAATGAGTATGAACTTCTCTAATTCTGGCATTTGAAGGCCACCTTCAGCTCGTGATGAGGAGAGAGAACAGTAGATTTCAGTCTGCTGTAGGTGGCACCGTTGGGTATTTTGCCCCAATACTTCACATTTGTCCTAAGCTTTAATAATGACAACTCTTCCATCTTAGCATCAAGTGCTTACGTAGCAGTATTTTTTTTTCCTTCAAAAGCAGTGCAAAATTTATGGAAGAATAGGGGGCTTGTGGGCAAGGGATAGGTTTCCATTTCTGTTAGTATTGCATTGAACGTGTTGTCGTTGTTTAGTGGTTAAGAACAACAATTTAATACTGACTTAGGACTCTGAATCTTGGGGTGGGGGGAGGGTGATTTTTATTAATTTTAGCAGGGTTAACAGTGGAGGAAATGGTGATAAGAGCCTGGAATTTAGGGTCCTGCAAATTCCTATAGTATCAGAGTCTTTTTTGACTTCAAAGAATCGGGCTGCTTACAGCCCAAATCTGTTCATGCTTAATGCAATTAGGTACGTTTCCTAGAATGTTAATTTAACAAAACCTTTTGCTTTGACCTGGAAAAGAGGATAAATAAAACATGATGCTGCTTGCTCCATACAGGCTCTTGCTTCAGCTTTAAGCCAGCTCCAGTTTATTCAGACAAATGTTAAGGAAGATTTGGATTCTTTTTTTATAAAAATGAAAAGGAAATCATTTGGATTCTGTTCTGAAATTGAGAAATAACACATAGAAAGCGTTTGTAGAGTGTGTTATCAGTGCTGCTGTGTGTGGTGAGTTAAACAACTGGATTGGAGTAGTACATTTGTTTAACCTCCTAGCATAATGAGCTGCCAGGGGGATTGCTCCACTTAATAGCAGCCGTTCATTACTCTGCAACCATTTGCAGTGCGTTATTTCTCTTATAGCAAAGAGAATTGGCGGTTCCTAGTCTTAGTTTTCTTTTTCTGTGACACTTAGTGTCAACAGCCTTGAGACTTGGCCAAAACAATCCTAACAAATCCTAATCCCAGTGTTTCAAGGTAAGTATTTGTTTCTCAGAATTATTCTGTTTTAGTGCTGCATGTTTACACTGGACCTTTTTGAATGCAACAGTGGTCGAAGAAATACTTGAACTGAACAATGTGTTTATTTTTTGTTCTTTGAAGGCACTTTGCATGTTCTTTATTCTTACCTTTCACTACCATAGCTATGAAATTTGTGGTAGAAGGCATTTTTGGGGTGGTGATGATACTGCCATTATATTATAAAGATCATCAGAACAAAATTAATTATGAGACAAAGAGAATTCCATTTGCAGTGACGCAGATGTAGTTGGATGTGCCATGCTGTACATTAAAATGTCAAAAGTTTCAAAATTAACCAGCAACTGAAGCCATCCTCTACCCAAGAGCATAATTAATGCTTGTTGTTGTTCAAAGGGTGCAATGTAAGAGCAGTAGAGCTTTTATAAAACGGAGATCAATTCTTTAAAGGCATCCCATTTTCAAACACTAGCTGAACTGTCAAGGGAAAAGAGAAATTTTTGCTAATGGCAAAAGAAATGATTATTTTAAGGAGTGAATTAATAGGCTATTAATGAGCCTTGTTCCCAGTGCATTGTTCTCTTCACACTTGACAGCAGCTTCATGGATCAGAATGGAATGTGTCTGTTCTTAACTGTGAGTTTTAATATTTTGCACTGAAAGATCATAATGTTGCTTCATCATTAAAATAACCACAAAATTAACTTTTGCCCCAGGGGAAAGACAGATGGCAGTTTGATGGCCTCATTATTCTTTTTCCTTTTTAATAAGAGTAAGGTTTTATATTGGCTTATATAATCTGAAAAGATCTCTTAAGAAACTAACTTTAGCTAGAAGAGTAAAAGAGATATAGCCGTATGATGTAATATAATTTTACCTGTCTAAAAATATCAGTTATAGCAAGGTCTCATGCATATGTTTATTTCTCTCCTGCAGTAGGAGTAGTCCCAGTGATTACTTACAGTAACTAAACTTGGCTCACTGAAGCCTATGGTAGTCCTACGATTGTCTTGGTAGGGCTAGCGTTTCGTTCACAGTGTATACAGTTACACATAGATGGGTCTTTGCAGGGTCAGACCTCAATATGTGGTAGGTGATGGCACACTCTTGTAATATGAGTAAAGGAAGATGCATGTAGTGATTAGAAGAGAATAGCCATAAGGTCTCCTGTTAACTTGCTATGCAGCTTTGGGTGATGTACTTACTGTGTGTGTGCCTCAGCATGCCCATTTCCAGTGGAGCACAGCTTTAGGTAGTTCCTGTTGACTCAGATAAGAATTCGGGATGCTTCACACTTTTGAGAATCTGGTTAAATAAATATTTGCCTACCTCACAGAGACTTAATGCTTACAGTGGACTTTGAAGTAAGAGGAAAAGGGAAGGCTGATTGTAGTCCATCTGTTCAGTTCAAGCAGGAATCCTGCTGCTTATTTGTTTGGTTTTCTGTTAAGTGATACAAGAACAATTCACATAGCTTATTTTATCATCTGAAAAAGGCACGTGAAGAAAAGGAGTGATGGAATGAAAAGGAAAATGCCTACTCAGCAGGGCATTCTTACTGCCACGTTTGTCACTGCATGTGCAGGATCTGTCACAAGCAAATTATTACAGCAAGTAAATATTTCTGATCTTTATGGTTGTCTTTAGGCTGTGACCATGAAGGCTGGATTCGTTTCTCTCTGCTCTACATATATTCCTTTGGTTTGAAACTTAAGCAGTCCCAGGATTGCTCTGTCAGAAGGAGTATATGGAAAATGGTGTCTCCATCAATGCATTTCCTCATTTGCTGTGTTCTAGTTTTCAACTCAAAAGTAAGGTAGGAAGAAGACTTGTTTAACTGGTTCCAGCTAGTTCCAAGACATATTTATAGCCTAGACAGCTTAGATTCAGGGACAAGTAGCCTCAAGGGGAGGAAAAAGGCCTATACGTTGGCTGCAGGGACCCAATGCTATTTGGTGTTCCTTCTGCATTGAAAGGACTGTTTAAAACAGCCTTAACAGAACACCCTATGGTAGAATGGTGCAAATCTTCCCCGACGCTGCAGATGGGCTGACCTCTTTCTGTCTCTGATGCAGGCTATTTTCTCTCACTGAATGTGTTCCTGGATCAGTAATCGCTGTTCAGGCAAAGCTCCTGCTCTAGGGTCTATTACAAAGTAAGGAAATGGAAATTTAATTTCCATCTGAGGATGTAATTTGTCTGTGGGCAGAGTATACTCTTAGCACATAGGTGATATGCATTGTAAGCAGAGGAATTCGAGACCGACTCCTCTGGCATTATATAGGATTTACACAGGCTCAACTGACAGCTGAATCTAGACTACTGTTCTTTGCCACTGCCTGATTAAGATGGAAAAAGTTGTCAAAATCCACAATAGAGTAATAGTTGAGGAAAAACACCAATTAAATCTACAGCATAGGTCCTTTCTGTTTCACTTAAAAGTCACAGACCAATTATGAATACGAAACAGAAAAAAATTATGCAACAATGAAATTAAACTCCAATTCAGATGCAATCAACACATTTCTTTTCATCTGGTTTTATATTATAATGAGTACTACTTACTGTATTGTAATCAAGCGAAAAGGATTTATTCAGTGAATTATCAAGGGTAATGGAACACCAATGAACTATGATAAAGTAAATGGAAAATTACATATTCAAATGACACAGATCTACATACTTCTTAAGGCTGCTTATATTTGGCTCATGTTGGCATGATTTGATAGTCCTGATTTCAGATGTGTCACACATGCCTGGATGTAAAGCAACTTAAGGAAGTCACCTAGATGGTTGGATTTGCTTTGTTTTGCATAATAATATTTCTGTGTTTTGACAGTGCCAAATCATGAGACAGTAGGAAATGCATATTGCTAACGTTATTATTTCAGACTTCGGTAAATCAGCAATTCCCTTTCTTTGGAAATAAGACAGGAGCATCCTTTCTTTATTAGTACCCGAGATGTGTTTGCATTTACACTGTCGTATTTTAAAGGGCAAGTGCCTTAAGTTTTAATGGGGCAGACTCATTAAGTAGCATAAAGTATTCAGCATCGTTAAAGTAATGACGGTTTCGTCCACTTACGTCAGATCTGAATTTTGTTTCTCCTTTGGAATAACTTAACTGATGCTAGTAGGGTTTATATTAAGGATAGATTTAGTACAATATTCTACATGCTTAGACTTCCTGTTCACTGTAAGGAATTAAAAATCAAGATCCCTTGGAGTGATCAAGGAAAAGACGATTCCATTCTCAGAAGAGAAACCTAGGCATCTCCTTTTCCAGTTTTCAGCTTTAATGGTGGAAACTGTAAAGCTTTCGGTAGATGGTATGAGATTACAATAGATACTTTCAAGGCATTGACACAACTACTTTATTAATGCAGCATCTTGTGCATTCTAGAAGTAACAGCAGCGTTTTGCTGCATAAAAGCTGATTAGCTTTTTTTTTTTCCCCCAGCGTTCATCGTCATTAAACACTGTGGACTTTTCAGAAGGTTTAGAAATGGAATTACCTTCAAGATTATCTAGGTCAGCCGATCCACAGATGCAAGGTGCAGCTGCTGTAACACTCAGCCCATCCGAGAACACCCTTCGTGACTGTAATACACCACCAGTGTGGGTGCCCAGCTACAGTTTGGCCTTGGGCAGAGCTCCAGGTGACCCGAGCCCTGGAGCAACTGCCAGCATCGCACCAGGTGATACGCTCCAGGGCAATGCTAAATGCAAGGTAAGACTTGCCAGAACTCGTTTACTGCTGTGAATTCAACTTTCAGTGATAGCACTGTTTTAAAGTCAGTCAGCTAAGTAAAGTGTTACTCCTCTACTGGCCTTTGAGCTCTGATTACAAATTATTTTCTTAAGGTAGAAATGAATAATAAAACTTGTCTGTTTTCCCCTGAAGCTGGAAAATGAAGATTTCAATACTGTGGATCATCTTCTAGAAAACAACTTGGCTACAGCTGGGCAAGATGTTGTAAACGAATTCACTCTTTCTGTGCAAAAAGTGCTGGAAGAACCTATCAATCTTTCGGTAAAAAAATCTCAGCATTGTGCTTCTCCTTCTGAACTGCTCTGCAATACTTCTTGCCTGCCCCTGAACGCCAGAGTGAGACAACTTAGAAATGAAGAAGGTACCAGGCTTTTTGTTATTTCTTTAGGTTTGAGGTTGGGCTTAGCAGTTTACATTGCAAGCATTGCAAAGCAGTGTGCTTATTAAGGTACTTACATAAGTTTGCTTTTCTAGCAAGCTTCAAATATTATCACGTACTTAATCCAATGGAAAAAGTGTTGGATCTCATTTGTGGAGGAAAATAATGGAAATGATATGCCTTGAATTTGTAACATCCTTCATCTCTGAACCAGAAACTAGCTTGTCTGTGTGAAGTGCCTGAAGTATTCGTTCTCTTAGAAGCACTCTGGCTAATGATACCTGCAGTTATTACTATTGAAGAGCTGGTTTGAAGAATCCAAATTCACTTAAAAAAAAAAAAAAATTGCTTCCAAAATATAATGTGCCTTCTGCTAAGTCCTTCACATCAGTAGCGTAGCAAATTTTTGTTAGGTTAATGTATTGCACAGTATGTGCCTCTGCTTGGCTCTGTCTGCTGTGGAACATTCCCTTCAGCCAAGGCCTATTTCTTCAGTCTTAATGGAAAATTAGACCTTACTTAACTCTCTTCGTGGGCAAATTGCCAGCATGCTTGTGCTACACTATAAAGCCTCATTCCTGAAAACTCTAAAAGTCAATGGGACTATTCATGCAAGCAAGGGATTGCAGGATCAAGCTGTTGACTTATGCCAATATTTGGCTGCTTTTCTCTGTAAAAGATGAATTAATATTTCTATCTCTGTGCTGTGTTTATATTCAGAAAATTCTAATTAGTACAAAGAAGGCCCAGCTCAGTGAGCCAAGGAAATGTATTTGTCTTCTCTTATGTGTACTAAGCCAAATTGTGACAATTATGGCAAGATCATTTGTGTGAGTAGTAAGCATCAGCAGTACCCCTAAAAAGAGTGCTGAATTAGCTGTGCCTCAGACAGGCTAAGTCTCCTTGAAGGGAGCAGCTTTGTAGTATGTGGTTTGGATTGTGTGACACTACACACAGAAGGCAGCCCTGGCATGGAGTCAGGCGGTCCGTAACAGGTGCTACAGAGTCGCTCCATTCAAAGCATTAATCCTGTTGTGCAAGAGGATGGAAAGGCAAGAGTCTCAAATGCAATGCTGCTCCCTTTTTGTAAAGAAGGACCATTAGTGAACGACTGCAGTCCTGCTCTGACTGTGCAACAGAGCACAGCAAGGAGATCTGAGATGATGCAACCATGGCGAGCTGTGTGTACCAGTGAGAGATATTAACTCTGCTGCAAAAACAACATATCTTTGCTAATGGCTCTCGGTAGGACTTACTAGCTTCAGCAGTGCTGTGCTCCCTAAATACGCTACTCCTGGTATATCTCCCCAGTGACTCATTCTTTTCTAATATCTAATCTAAACCTTTCAGCTTAATTTACAGCAAAATACTTCTTATCCTAACCCCAAGGGATGTGGTAAAAAATTGTGCATAATTTCATCATTTTGTCTCTTACAGCTTCTTTCTTTCTTATGGTGGCTTGTGTTGTCACCTCCCTCAATCTTTCCTTGGCTAAAAAGTCTGATGATTTCAGTCTTTCCTCATGGGTTAGTTTTTTTTAATGCCCCCTGCTGTATGTATTCTGAGTTCTCTGTAAGTAAGGAGTGTTGCCCAAAAACCAAACAGTGTTGTACCTCAGGGCTCCAGGGTGCCAAGCCGAGTATCAACTTCCTTTTTTACATTCCTCACTATTGGCAATATACTGCAGGATGGTGTTTGTCTGTTTTGCAGCAGCAGCATTGCATTGTTGACTCATATGTAGTGAATGGCTACTTAACTCTCAGTTCCTACTTGGCATAACTCTTCTAGTTAGTTATTTTCCTTGGTAATTTTTGTGCATCTGATCTTTTCTTCATAAGCATTGTTCTATAAGTTGTCTAACAAAGTTTTACTGATTTTGGAGATTTTTTTTCACCAATGTATTAAGATCATTTTCAAACTGTAAACATTCTCTGAAGTGTTTGCAACCCCTCTGGTTTGGTGACATCAACAAATGTTATAGGTACTCTGTCTTGCAAACAGAGATGGAAATACTGATTAATATTACGACCACCACCACCACTGAAACATCCTGCGGTTTGACAGCATGCAACGAGAGCTGCTCCTTCAGCTCACTGTGCCATCACCTTTTAGTAATTCTGTCCACGTCCGTGGCTACCAGCCTTCACCAGAGCAACAACAGCAAGTGAATAACGCGTTGGGAGTGACATGAAACACACCTTTCCGTGTCAGTCTCCATAGTATTGTATTTCCTGTGTCTGAGAAAAAACAGCAGGCTATCTCAGAAGCATTTGCTCTCAAGCCATGGGGTAGGGAGCCCTGATCTGAGATTTTTCTAGAATTTTCTTTAAAAAAGTGTTTTTTCATTTCACTTGTGTCTCCACAAAGCCATGGTATTTGTTTTATTGTCTCGTCAGTGAACTAATTCCTAAAAAAGGAAGGAGTTTCTTAGCGTGGGTAGGACACTGGGGAGACTTCCTGAGCCTCAACAGCTCAGACCTCAGTAGGTCTGTCACTCTCGAATGATGGCTGTATAGCAAAGAGGATTTACTTATATAGTTCCATGTATTTGGATGAATGTGGTATGTCTGTGGACATACAGAATTCCATGGGAATGTAACCATTTCAACAAAATGTTTTGGAATGATGCCTCACATTCAAGATAGGAACTGTGGTTAAAAGAAAAAGACAAAGACTGTATCCTGGAATAGCATACACATTTTATATATGCATATAGATGAGATGATTCCATAATTCACTTATATCATATTAAACACCAGTCAGAAGTGCATGAATATTGAAGTACTTCCTAGCCTAATCTGACTCTGATATTATAAATATTTTATTCATTTTCTTATCTTCTGTTCCAGATTCCAATAACTGTGAAAAGGAACATTTTGAAATGGGTATGAAAAGCAATCAGAATGTCAGGTAACAGTCTCTTTCTTTTTTATTTTTTCTAATACAGAAGCACTGGCTGCAAAATGTTATGCGCGTATTTTGAAAATTTGTCATACTTAATGCTAATGGGAAATTTGTTTTAGAAACAGTGCAAGATTCCTTGTAGATAATAATTCTGAATGTTGTAAACTCTTCTCTTAAACTTGAAAACAGCAGTTTAAAAGAAGTGGCAAGTTCATGCATTTCTGTTATTCTGCTGTGATTTTCCAGAACATATCAATATTTATAAACTTACCTCATTGAAAAACTAGGAATTGTTTAGCCACAATGAGGTATTAAAAATACTGAGTAGGTTAACATAATGAGAACAGGATTAAAATTACCTCAATAGTTTTTATAAAATTTTGTTTTCAGATGTTGCTCTGCTAGTATTTTAAAGTAAAGTTGAATGATGTACTGTATTACTTTTTGAAGCTAGCTGCACTGAAAAGTATTGAGCTTGACTTGGGCTGAGATGATTAAAACAAAAATATATAGGGACAGCGTAGGGCAAATTTTTAGGACAGAATTTAGTAATGTGTTTGCACACACAATCAAATTAAAGTGATTGCATTCCCATTTCTCAAAACATAAGCATGTGAAAAACTTCTACAACACTTAGCATGTACTGCAGCCTGCAGAGTAACAGTTAACAAAAAAGAAAAAGAGCACAAACACAGTATATGAAAAACGTTGAAACTGGACGTGTTGGGGGGATTTTGCAGAATATGAGTGATTTTAACCATGTGTCATTTTGATTGTAGAGCTGGCTCTAAGGAGCTGAAGATCCCCTACGTGCGACTTGAACGCCTGAAGATATGTGCATCAGAATCGGGGGATCTCCCAGTGTTTAAGCTGCAGCCACAGGAGAGTGAGCAGGAGGGCACTTTCCTTCTGATAATTGAGTGTGGGTCCCAGTCTTCAAGTATGGCAATAAAAGTGAGTAGAATTTGCTTGAGGCTGTATTTGCTTTCTCCTCCTCTTCCCACTGGCTTCTACTACCCGCAGTTACTAGCAGTTATTATATTCTAAACAAGTCTGTTGATTAGTTTCACCCTTGGACACGCTCTGTGATGGGCTGAAGTAACATCCAAATTTAAGGACAGGCTGCAGCTTTTGTTAGCTGCGCAGCTCCCTGTTACTTCCCATTTTTGAGACTGGATAGCTGTAATGTTATTGTATTCTAACAAACAACCTGGTTCATCTGTTTTGTTACAAATATAGGATAAGTAGCTTAAAACTGACCTGAATGCGTATTCAGGTTTCTTTGAATAATCGACTGATTCCAGATATTAGAGTAATAGATTATTTTAAGTTTAATCTTCTAACACTTTACTAAAGTCTTGAATATGAACCTCTTTCCACAGAAGGAAATAGGAGTTTCAGGTGGGAACAAACCCTGTACTCCTTGTTTCAAACTGTTTCCTGTAAAACTTGCATTTGGCAGAGATGCTGAATAGAATATATAGTTATCATAAAGAGCAAATATGATTGCCAACTATCCTGTTTCTATTTCCTGTGATATGAAACCTGTACAGCTGTCTCACAGTGCTGTTATGCTGTGATATATGGAGGAAGTGACTTGACCAAGCTCACCTGGCCGTGCAGCAGTAGATACTGAGCTGAGCCTAGACTGCTGAACTCCAGTGCCCTCTCTAGCAGGGTTCACTGCAGAGAAACCATTTTGTCTGCAGATAACCGCTACTGTTATATCCTTAGATGTGAAAATGATGATGCTGTGATTCCAAATTTTTCTCCTTTCAAGATAAATAAAGATAGTCCACATGAAGAACCAAAATCCAAAAAGGACTCGGAGGACAGAGAAGTATCCATTACCCAGGCTGCAGGACAGATACTCTCTCCTGCAGCAGATACTCCATCTGTTGATCAGAAGTTCAGCAATGGCATCTCCCTCATGAAGAAATCTCCAGTTACTCAGGAAGTCAATCCAATGGAAAATGAGGATTTCTGTGCCGTGTGCCTTAACGGAGGAGAACTGTTGTGCTGCGATCGCTGCCCCAAGGTGTTCCATCTCTCATGCCATGTTCCAGCCCTGCTCAGCTTTCCAGTGTGAGTAGATGTGACGTTTCCCTAATGTGCTCAGTTTCTGCTTACTGCTTTGGGGCAGAATATATCCTGAGAAATATATGCATCAATCTTAGAAGGATAATGACTGCATCTCTCACTTGTCTTCTCTCCCCCTCCCCACCTTATTTTTCTTACAATGGGAGGAGCTGTCTGACATACTAGGAACTAGATGAATTATTAGCAAGAAATATTTCCAGCCATGTGTGCTCTTTCTGCAGTTAGCCAGCCAGTAAAACAAAGGATGTGTAAACCTGAGCTTTAAAAACATCCTTTCAACTTACTTGAGACCAATAAAATTCTAGTGATCGTATGACATCTGTAGTATAAAGGTCAGCCCTTCCCTGCAAGAACAGACTAGCATAAGAACAAGTGCGATCAGTGAGCTCCTATTCAGTTTTTCCAGCCACTTATTTCTTCTTCATGCATCAAAACATAAAGCTTTAGATGACCTCTCCTCTTAAATATGTGCAAGATCGCACTTTTTAGGAAATATTTAGAATTATTGGGGATTTGTGGTAATGTTTAGGACATAGGTTTCCCTATATAGTGACTATATAGATATATAGTCACTAGCAACTTGTTACAGCCAAATTGTTTGTGACAAAGATCCAGAATTAGGCGTGCATTCACATATCAAATTTAAAAAGTGAGGCTGGGTAAGTAATGTCCATTACTAGTGTTGCCTAATTCTGAATTCTGTTATAGATCATTATCACCAAATAACTCTCAGCTGAGCAAAATGCTTTGTGGGGTATTAGCTCAAAGTTTGTGGGTTGTTCTTTCTGTTCAAAAGACAGGAAGTGCCATCTTTTGTCCTTTTCTCCCTTTTTCTCAAAGGCCTAAGTCGTTATTAAACCTCCATTTTCAAAATACTATGAAAAGCAAGTTTTTCTTGTAAAATAAGCTTCCTAGGCCAGGTTATATTCTAGTTAATTAAATTAGTTCCTGTAACTAACCTTTTATATTCATATTTCTTTATGATCCTTAATCTGTAGTTATTCAGGCCCTGATCTTGCAGAAGTTGCATCACTAAGGGTTTTATGAGGACAGAGGAGTTTCTGAAAATGGATCTGCCAGCAAGGACACTTATGCCCCTGCTGAGTTATATCTGTTTGGCTGAGGATTGCATGCCCTAGCACATCCTTTTGTAACAATCTTGATTTCTTTGGTAATTGATACATTTATTATCTTAACAGATCCATTTTTCTCTTATGACCTAACTGTTGTCTGGTTTTTGTATTGCTGGCTGTATTTTTTTCTAATTTTCTAGGAAAACAACATTTCGATGTGTGCAGCTGCACGCATTGTTCATATGTGGTTTCAAATACTTACTATTTTTTCTTTTTCGCTACACTAAGTGCAATGACTAGAATCTGAAATATTACATTTCTAATGAGATTTGAATTTCTTGGAGAGTGTCCAGTACAATGGGCTTAAGATCGCTGTTCTCGTACCAATTAAAAATCAGAATTGTTTCCAAATACAGTGATTCCTGAGGTTTGTTATTTGGCAAGGTAGCTGGCAAAATTTGACACAGGTTCTTTGATGTGTTGTTTTGCAGGGGAGAATGGGTGTGTACGCTTTGTCGTAATCCAGTGAAGCCAGAGGTAGAATATGACTGTGAAAACACCCGTTACAACCACAGTTATAAAGCACAACATGGCCTTGATGACTATGACCAGAAGGTGAGAATAACTGCATACTATACTATATAGAAAAAGAACATACGATCTCTGCAAACAGCTTTGCCTCCTATTGGAAACATGACTTGGTTGCTACTAGAGTGTTTCAGAGGATAGTAAATACAACAACGGCATTACGTTAATGTTCAGTTATATCATTCTCTTCTTTCTAGAAATCCCTGTTTAATTTACAATAAATGCCATGTTACAGAGAGATGAGGCTGGCAGATCTGGAATCCCTTTCTCCTCTGAACAGGCAAGGCACACTCAGCAGCAGCAGAGCAAGGTTCTGTGAATCATCTTTGCCTGGCTCTCTGCCACTGAATCTTTTCCTTTAAGACTTGGCATCCTCTCAGACATCTACTTAGGCCAGTTGCAATGATATTTTTTTGATGTGGACAGTTTTTGACTCTCAGTTGGATTGAAATAATCGGTTCACTTCATATGGACCATTAGTAACCTTTAGGATGATATTTAGGCACTGCTAGCCCAGCCCAGATGAAAGCTTGTACTCTTTGCATCCCCATTACCAGTTTCCTCTAATAAATATCTCATGAAAAATAGCTTTTCTTAAAGTCTGCTTGGTACTGGGAAGCAAGAAGTTCCAAATGCATGTCATGTGTATGTGAGTAACAACTGGACAGGGAGGCTAAGTGCACACAGCTGGGTGCAGATGCTGAGTTGGCAATGCACTAATTAAATCTAGGACTTGGCGCTAGTCTAATCTGGGCGCTATAGATAAAGACAACAGCAATGATTCTTAAAGCACTGCAGCCCCCTGGCAAGGCCTATGAGCCTGGCCACAGCACCACACAAATTCATCTGTTTCCAGTCATGAGCTACTATGTCTGTATAGGGCTGAGTATAACTTCTGGACTTCTATGTGATCCCTCTCTCTATTGCATTGGGTACAACTGGGCAGAAATAGCTGTGATCTGGCCTTTGATTAATGAAGTGTTAATTAGAAAATTGAGTTAATTAGAAATTTCCTTGCTTGATTAACAGTCATGGCTTATGAACTGTTTTGCAGCACATTTCTTGGCCTCAGTGAAAAAAACAGAGGAAGAGTAGTATAAGTATTTTGCAAGTTAGTGTTAATGATGAATGATTAAACATAGCCATTTTCATATAGTGCTGCGAGCCACATAACTTATACCCGTTTGTTTGAATGGAATTTGAACTGTGTGAAACATTCTCCATGAAATAGTTTCCATGCTGTTGCTGTTGTTCTTTCAGTCAAGAGCCAAGGAAGAGTACAGAAATGGAGTGCGGAAAGGAGATAGTATTGAATTCTGAAGAGTTTCCATCTAATAATACAGTACAAATACATTTTCAGGAAAGATTCATGCGTACAGAAAAAACTTCGATAATCCTTCTTTTCTTCCCTATCATTTATTATCCTCACTTTCAAAACTGCTAAAATGCTATATGATGCCCTCAAGTTAGTGAAGTGTGCCATCTTGCATCAGAAACGCACAGGCTACATAAAACTCCCTTTGTCATTACTATGATCTGGATTAGCTAAGGGCAAGAGCAAAACTCGTTTGCTTTGAATTAGAGCTTATTTCAAATCTGGATTTTACAGAAGTGTGAAAAGTTGGTGCTTTCGCTGTTGTGCAGTAGCCTGAGCCTCCCATTCCATGAGCCCGTCAGCCCCCTGGTAAGTACTGCACACACGTGGGCCAGGGGAATCCAGGGAATGCTGTGGTGTTGCTCACGAGTTCTTCCTTTGTCTTCTCACAAGATGTTCACTAGCACTATTGCTGAACAGTCTTGCATCCCAGGGGTAGGCGTTTCCCTCTTGAAAGTGATGTGAAAGTGCCAGTTCAAAAGCAGGTAAATACTGGCAAATGTTCTTGGGCCAGGTTTGGATGTTAAAGATGCTGGTAGGAAACGACGACAAAATCAGGCATTCTGGTGATTAAAACTGTTGACCTGCTGTGTATATGGAGAACGTTTCAGTGCCATAAGCGAGATCTGCTTTACAAATAACCCTGCACTCCCTCTTTTCTGATGTGCTGCCCAAAGGTAGTAATGTGACTGTGTTCAGGGGAAGATGATGTTGTCAGGACATCGGACAACAGTCTAGAGACTGGTTGCTGTTTCGTCCATGTACTGAACACTTGCGGTATTAACTGGCTATTTTAAGGAAGATGTAGATTCGAGTGATTATAACAATGGAACACAACATGAAACAAGTTGGATGGGAAAATGAAAGAAAAACAGCAGGCTTTATATGACTGAATAGTTCAAATAACAATATTGAAAATTTTCCACCTCGTAAAACATGTGAAGAGCTTATGGAACACACAACCTAGCAAAGCAAGTTTTGACCCAGAAAAATTTAAGGAGTGGTAACGGGTGCCTGTTGAAATAAACTTTTGTTGGACTTGAAAAGGAGAGTATAGTACCATATTTGTAGTCACTCTAGGCAGACTACTTCCCACTGTATCAACTGCCAGTGTCTCAGCACATTATTTTTATGTTTGCTAATTCAGTGTTACATTCATTATCGATTATGGTTAAATGACAACATTTATATCATGGGATAAACTTTAGGGAGTGCAAATAGCAGAATAGTCAGGTATGCCGTTTTGAAGATCAATCTTGCAAGCAAATATATATATATTTTTAATCAAACCTAAAAAAGCAAGCAGGAAGATGATGTGCAAGTGCAGGTGCTAAGAGACGAGAGCTCTATTCCTTGCTCTGCAAGGAATCCTCTGCAGTGACTTCTATTCAAACGTGGATAGAAGTCACTGGAGATGAAACATTTTAATTAAAAAGGTTACGTCTGTTTACCTGTATTTATTCTTATTGCAGGCTCGGCATTATTATCAGATCATAAAAAGGCCAATGGATTTGTCAAGCATACGAAAAAAGCTGCAAAAAAAGGACAAATCCCATTATTCGGCACCTGAGGAACTTGTGACTGACGTGCGTCTCATGTTTTGGAACTGTGCAAAGTTCAATTATGTGCGTATATAATATGCACGGATGAGAGTATCTAAACTGGAGGGTGGTTCTTTCAAGCTGTCACACTGGTGTAGCTCTCTTGGTTCCATTGACATCAGATGGAGGAATGGGATAAACAGAAGGATTGATGAGTTTTTTTAACTCTTTGGAAATTATATAGATTTGTTAATGACAAAAGTGCCGCATCTGAGAACTGGAGCTGTGTGTGGGTATAAAATTAGAGAGGAATGTCTTAGCCGATGGCTTTCTGGAATGATGCTGGGTTTACTGTGAGAAGCCAGGCATATCCAGCAAAGCAGCTAGCAGAATGCAGGTGCATAGAAATTCCTAAGCAATGAAGACTGTTATTCTTTCCAGTCCACTTCACATCTCTTTTCTTATAGATGCAGAAATGTTTCCCTTAATAGCAGCATCTGCTTTTTACTTACACTGTAAATGCAGAGGGACTAATGGGCTATAGAAAGTGCACAGGAGACTAATGGGGACGTAGCAGACAGAACCAAGGCAAGATGTTAGGACAGGGTAGGAATTTGTTTCTGATCCTTGATGACTTCAGTGTGCAATAACACTAAATGATTGTTTTTTCTCTTACAGCCGGATTCGGAGGTTGCTGAGGCTGGACGATGCTTAGATGTATTCTTTGAGGGCAAACTGAAGGAGATTTATCCAGACAGGCATTTTCCTTCAATGCAACAGGAAGACTCTGATTCTGAAGAGGTAGCGAGTCAGAAGAACAAAATGCCCTCCAAAGACTTCCAGTGGCCATCATACGGACAGGAGTGTGTTCAGCCTAAAAGGAGACGGCGCCATGCTGTAAGGATGCAAAAGCAAAAGCATTTGGTTGCTAAGTGGCCACCCTGCTAATTCTGTTTACAGCTACTCATGGGAAGTTTTGACAGTGCTGTGTGGGAAAACTGTCAAGCTTCTATCCGATAGATGTGACCGGTTCTACAATTTTATGTCAAGATCTTCTCAGTGAAATGAAGTGTCAGTTGTGTATAAGTGTGTGTGAGCTTGAGCAAGTGAAATCTCTCAGGCCCCACACAGTTATCTTCCTAGCAGAAAACTCTATCAAGTTTTTTTAAAAAGACTAAACCCTCTAGCTATTTACTATTTGTTTCCTTTGTACACAGGGAGGTGAAAAAAATAAAAGAACGATGTTTCAGCCAGCTAACAGCCTTCCTCAGGTATGACCTCCTGAAGATACCAAACTTGCTGTGAGGAATCCAGGAGCATAACTGACAGAATTAAGGTGTGTGGGAGGAAAGCAAAGCGCTCGGGCTGTTAACTTAACCTCTCCTAATCTGCTGACCGTATGCCTTATTTCTAGATCTTGTGGATAGATAAGAGATCCAAAGTGTTTGAATCTGTCAATATTCCATCTGTTAAATCATATATGTTTTGCAGTCTTTATACTGAAGTACTAATGTTTTGGTGATAGGCAATGATGATTAATTAATAAAAGTAACATGTTAATAATATTTAATACTACTGTACCATTTTGTAATCTGTTTACCATGACGCTTATTTTATAGAGCACAGGTAACCATGTAATAATCTTATAACCTCCATGTGAATGTTGGCTATGTTTTATGATGGATACCGTGTGTGGTCATAAAAGACTTAATCCTGTTTTATTCAGTGATTTTTCTGGGAGCTTGATTGAGTAAGGCCTATGGGATACAGTCTAATGTGATTACCTGATTAGTTGTTTCTTTCGAACCAGAGCATTTTCATTAAATCACAAAAAAGCAAGTGCTAATAGTGCTAATATTAAGGCTCTGTGTGAGCTAATTTTGAGTGCATGCTGGATGCTCGGTTTGCAAAGAATAATTCTTCTGGTATCTAATTCACGCTCTGTAAAGCAGTGTGGGATTTCTTGGGTCTCAAAGGCAGTGTTTTTATACAACCCAAACCAGTTGCTGTTCTTTAAAGCAGCTTTGGAGTTTAGTAAATTAACTATGAAACAATTTACATGGTTATGGAAGTGCCTATAAAATAATCATATGTTCCCAATTTTCTCTTTGGTTATTTCTTGTAGTTGTGATTCCTAACAGTACTAGAAGATAACGATGTGTGTATATAGAAGCGCATACAGAACGAAAGGATGTTTAAGCCTTTGTTTTCCTAAATTACACAATCTATTGGCAGAACAACACCAAGGAACACCAAGTTGCTGGAATAGCAACTTCACAGTTCACTTGAGCAAGAGGTTGCATGAAGTTGTAAAGACCGAAGGGTGGGATAGGTAACAAAATATGATGCCTGATCAGAAAGTGGTAGTTGGCAAGCTGCTTCCCACCCCTTCCAGAAGCAGGTGAGCAAGATCTCTTGGCCAATGCTTTCTTCTTACGCGCGTGTGTTGGGGGGGGGGTTGTCCTCCCCCTTAGTTCTGCAAAGCTGGGCCATGGTCTGGCTCTGAGAAAAAGTGGTTGTTGCAGATCCCGTGCCCAGTTAAAGCTCATTTTAGTTAGTTTCCTGTAAATAAAGATGATATTTTCAGCATAGTTTATATGGGTTATTTGGTCTAGTAACCATGTTTGTTATTTTAGATAACACTTTAAAGTAAAGGTTTATATATGAAACAGTAAGACTTGAATGTTATATTCTGCTATCTATATGACTTATTGTTTGCCATTAACTTGGTAGCGAGCTGATGTTTGCTTTGAAAAAATAAAAGTCTGGATATTGTAAGCTGACTGGAAAACTGAGAGATGAAGGGATGCCCTTTACATTCTCTGAATGTGCATTTCCTGTGTGTTTACTTTCTATCACATACTGTTCTGAGAACATGGAAGTGTCTTGCCACAGGGAAATGAGTGCAGGTTTGTGACTGAATTAATCACCCATATCTGTACTACGGGTATTACCTTTTCTCAGCTGGTAATTAATTCCTCCACCAAAGACCTCTTTTACCATTAACAGTGCAAAAATGATATGTTGTATAGCCTTCAGCTGGGGGCAAAGGTAAAAATGGGAGAGACTGTGAACTTATCAATTCCTTTTTCCTGCAAGAGCAAAGTCCACAAGAGCCTGCTTCCATTTCTTAAGTGCTGTAGCTTTGTTAACTGTGCCATTAGTTTTGGAGAACACCTATTTTATTCAGGGTATACTGCACTTACCAAAAAAAAAAAAAAAAAAAAAGTGTGCCAGTTTTCTGACATATACACATATACAGGTTATCCTTTAGATGAGTTCTGGCAATATTTTAAGGCCTGAGCACCCTTAAGGCTAACTTTGTTTCAGTTACTTCTGTAAGACATAGCAATAATTTTAAAAAAATATTCATAGGCTTTGGGTCATGCTGGTAAACAGAAAAAAAACCCCGAACTTAGGAGTGCGAGTCTCAAAACCAAATCCAGGGGTCTGCAACTTCAGTGTGGTGTATGTCATAAGACATAATATCATCCACATGGAAGGTACCGTAAAATTGCTGGCTTGCGATGCCCGTCTGCTGGGGCGGTGCCTGTGCCTTCTGCGCCACCAGTATCTGTCTCTTCTGTGGATGTTTACTCTGTTGAAGTCCAGCTACACACCGGTCCCAGCACTGACGAGTATGAAAGGCCCAAGCGCAAGTGAGAGGTTTGGTAGTTTCTTTTTCTTCTGTCAGACAGCCTGCCTCACAATTCAGAGTATGTAGGAAGGGGAGTGGGGAGGAATCGCTGAAATTTTCCATTGGAAGTAAGTATAGCAGAAACATCTGCCAGGAACACTGTGGGAATGCCAGTGAACGCGCTGGGCTTCTGGAAATGCAACCAAGGGCAGAATTTTTCCCTTTGTCTTTGGTAATGGGTTACATGTAGAATGGGAACATCCTCTTCATGCTTAAGCAGTTGGAAAAGAGATTAATTACACTTCAGTAATAGGTCTGTAGAAGACGAAATGACAACTACAAATTTGACTTTCATTCCCCTATAGACGGTTTCAAAGTCATAGTTCCTCCAGTATGATTAAAGCAGAATGAATGACATTAGAGTTAATACAAACAGGTGTTTAACAATTCAGATTATTGAATGATTGCATGTTTATGTATGTAATGTGCTTTGAACAATAAAATTTGTGAAATGTATTTTTGCACATCAATCTGAAGTTTTGGCTTTAACTACATTTGCTTTCAATTAATATATGGATTATGTAACATCATTTAGCACTTATTAGCTAAGCTACTGATAACTTGTGGTGGCAAAGCAGAATGGTTATAAAAGCAGTTATGCTAACACAGGCAATCAGTTTTCTATTTTGTGCTGGAATTTTCAATGTCAATTTGATATTTTTGCCTTTTGTTTTTTAATTAGTATAAGTTAGTGACAACCAAAGGCACTGACAACAAGTAGCAAAAAGTGTTTGTGGTTTACATGTACGCATGTATTAAAATGCCATGAAACATTGCACTTACTAGTAAGATGAAGTGTTTGATCCAGTGTATTTGATCAGAAGGAATCGGAAAAGATATTTTAAAATTGGAAACGCTGAAAGTTAAAGAATTATAGAATAATTTAGAATAAATAGAACAAAAACGCTCTATTGGCAAGCAGACTGCAATTTTTTTTCTATCATTATTGGTTCCTCCCAGTTGGTTTGTGGGAGTATAAGAATCAGCACAGGCTTTCTGACCTGGTGGCCTACTGGCTTGAGGAAAAAGGAATCCTTTCAGTGGTTGTGTTAGAGCTGTAATGCTCTTTAAGACATAGTTAAGACAGAATTTGTAGATAGAGATAACTTTGTTTTTACTATATAAACGGGAAAAGGTAGACAAACTTTTGGGCACACAGCTGCTTCGAGTGTGAAATACAGGCAATAAACTTCCAAACTAAATATCAGCTGAGTTTCTCTGAATTTAATTGGGTATCAGTGGAGACCCTCTGAGGAAAAATAAAGATAATTGATAGCTGTGGGGGCTAATGAGGCTGCACGTCTTTTGAAACTACCTTGTAGATCAGGAGCAAGAAACGAGAAGTGGAGTGATTGCTTTGCGAGAAACGTTATTCTGCTATCTGTTACTGTCCTTTACTAAACGTTTATGACAGCCCATTGTAGCATGTAACGTTATGTGTATTTTCATCTGCTGAGTTTTCATGAGAGCATTTAGTATATTGGATGAAGTTTATACTGGGTTGTGCAATGTGGAAAAGTGGGAGCTGGCTGACTCTGTGAAGAGTATTTACTGTGGTGGGAGTGCTTACTGTGGCGGTGGGAAATTGCAGCGCTCTAATCTGTTGTCAGTATCTAGCTCTGCTTGTTCCATTTTGGTTGATCGTGTTTGAAAATGAGGTATTTTTCAAACAACTTCTTCCTGCGTAGGGTGGTGTTTGTAGCAAGATTCTATGTAAACTCTATGTCACAGCAGGTTTTTGAAAGAAAGACCCTTTTAGATTAAGGAGATGAGGTTTGCAAGTGTTATCCCCAGAGCAAACAGGGCAGTGCCTGAAGGCCAGAGAGTATTTTACGGCTTTTTGAGATTGTTTCAGATAGTTAAGAGTTTTACTGAAGTAGCAAATACTGATTTATGGTTATGCTGTGTATTGTAGTTTGTAAGTTACTATTCTTCACCTTGATTATAATGTCTAGGAAAACAGTGTCAGTACAGCAGTATCCCAGAGGCAGTCTCACACTGAGGTACTGAAGCAAAGGTTATTAAATTTGTTGTGGAAGTCAGTGAGGTAATCCAGGTTTCTGGCACAGGTGATAAAGATATCACCTAAGTATCTTAGGCGTGACATAGGTGCTATGTTCCCATACAGTCTGGGCTAATGTAATACATATTGTAATACATTGCAACACTCCCTCCCTTAGTGTTCTGAGGTGAGCATTGTTTACCACACTAGAATGACTTTCACAATGTTTCTCACCAACAGAGTTGTAAAATCACTTTAGACTTTTAAAAGCCACCGTTTTTTAGACAGGGACATTTGTTCAGGTAAGTTTCATTTCTTGCCTTTTTTTTCCTGTCTTTGCTAATCAGCCTGCTCTTGCTTCTGACGAAGTGAAGAGCAGGAGTAGTTCTTTCATCTCTTACAAATTCAGTCCTTGCTTGTTAGTCCGTAATACCCTGCTCTGAGAGACCAGCATTGGTGCTCTTTCATTTTTTACAGTAGACTTGGTAGTTTTTTTTTCTGATAGAACACAAATACGGTCAGAAGACCCCCTTAGAGGAAACTTACAGTGAAAACACTGTAAAATATTCAAAACAGCTACTTGAATCATAACTCTGAAACAGTGAGGTTTGTTCCCGTGGATGGACTTTATAGAGTTTGGTTGTCAGGCCTTGTGCTGACTGCCTGCGCTGGGCTGACCTTCTCTTATGGCCGAATAAACGTACTGTCATAACAGTCCTTCAAACATTGAATTATTGTCACAGAAAATGATAGAACTTGATCTGGTTTTAGATTAGACCCAGCAAATGTCTGTACAGTGCAGTAATGAAAAAGCACGAGAACAGTGCTATCTTTAGACACTGAAAGTAAGACAGATAAAGTGTGTTATATTAGGCAAGATAAGGAATTGGAGTGGCATGATATTTTATGTACTCATTTCTGGATCATACTGTACTTTGTAAGTCAATGTATTCACTGTATAGATAACCATACTTTCAATCTTTTTCTATAGTTATTAATGTTTCTTGCAATAGCATTAAAATGGACCTAAGTTTAACCCAAGGAAACATTTTATGCTCATGTATATACTGTATTGCATATTCTGTGGTGCATGATGCAATACTTCTAAATTTACAGATCATTGGGCCAAGCTAAACAGTTTTCTCTTGCAGCTGAACAGCAAATGGAAAACACCTATAATCACTAATAATGAAAATATTAATAGAATGTGACCATATCTATAAAACCAACAGGCTTTGCAAAAGTGTTCTGTAAATCACAGAAATTAAAGGTAAACAAAAACCTTAAGGATATTTTATTCTGGAGTATAAATAAAGCAACAATATAGAACTTAAAGTGAAAATCAATTCAGAATTCATCCTCACTTTCTACTTGAACTCAAAACTCTGTGCTGCATCTTAGCACATAGCTGTAAACACCTTAGGCATCTACAAGGCAGTATATTAACACGTATAAATGGACTTCACGTTATGAGAAATAGCATTAAAAACATTCAGTGCCTTAAACACTGGC